ATGCTCAGATAACCGCCTCTTTCTTGCAAATACTAACTTTAAGCATATGGAAAAACATCTTTTAACATGGCGACCCCCTAATTCGTCCCAATGTTGCACCCAAATAGATCACATCGCTATCAGCCACCGATGGAGGGGCTCGATAGAAGACTGTCGCTCATTCTGGAGCACATGCTTAGATTCAGATCATGCTGTAGTACGAGCGCGTATCTGTCTGCGTCTTACTGGACGTAGGAAAGACGCTGCAAGTAAACCTCTTAGGGCCCTACTTAATGATAGTCAAGCTAAGAGTATATTTCAGGAGCAACTAGGAAAACAGTTAGGCAGCCATGTATGTGATGCCCACCCCGATGCAGCATGGAATGATATCCGAAAAGCTGTGGAAACAGCAGTGATATCTGCTAGTAAGGTAAACCAGAAGGTTAGGGAGCAACACTGGATCTCAGCAGCATCTATCTCACTGATAAATGCTCGGAAACACATTCCACCTGGCTCTGAACATAATGACGAGCGGAGTCAGCTTAAGCGCAAGCTGACAAGAAGTCTACGCAATGATGGTGAACAGTGGTGGGTAGCGAAAGCAAGAGAGATGGAAAAGGCAGTGGCAATAGGTAATAGCAGACAATTGTTTAGACTCGTTAAGGAAACCGGAATAAGGAACCCGAATGTTAGCGAAACAATCTCAGAGAAAGATGGACATATTATTCATTCTCAATCCAGGAGATTGGATCGATGGGCAGAACACTTTAGGGATCAGCTCAACTGGCCTTCAGCCACACTTCGGTTTCCCACGATCTCCAGTCAACCTGAATGGCAAGTTAATGTAGGTCCTCCGTCTCTTTACGAAGTTGAAAAAGCCATAGGAAATCTGAAGCGAGGGAGAGCAGCAGGCCCTGACAGGTTTACTCCTGAGATTTTTAAGGATGGTGGTCCAGTATTAGCAATGAGATTAACCGAGGTCTTAGGTAGAATTTGGGAACTGGACGTAATCCCATCTGACTGGTCTCAATCACTGATTGTGCCAGTCTATAAGAAAGGACAAAAGTCCTCTTGTGACAATCACAGAGGAATCAGTTTGACTAATATAGTGTCTAAAATATTAGCCTCAATAATACTTCGACGCCTAACTAAAGTTCGTGAAGAGCAGACTAGAGAAAACCACGCTGGTTTTCGACCTGGACGTGGTTGTATAGGCCACATATTCACATTAGGTCAGGTTCTAGAACACAGACATACGTTCAGACGCCCCACAATCGTGGTATTTCTCGACCTTAAGGCGGCATTCAACTCTGTTAATCGTAAGGTTCTATGGCAGTGTTTGTCACTGAAAGGAGTACCAAAGAAGTACATTAACCTTGTAAAGGCTCTCTACTCGAACACAACTGGTAGAGTGAGAGCTTATGGCAAACTGTCATCAGAATTGATTACCTCAAGTGGTGTTCGTCAGGGCTGTCCACTCTCCCCATCCTTGTTCAACTTTGTCATTGACGTACTTTTAGAGATAACACTCTCCTCATCTAAATATACAGGGGTTGAACTTCTGCCAGGAGGTTCACTTGTTGACTTAGAATATGCTGATGACATAGTTCTATTTGGTGAAGACGCTGACCAAATGCAGACTCTTCTGACCACTCTAAGCAACAATGCAAGCATGTTCGGGATGCGATTCTCGCCCTCGAAATGCAAAATGTTGCTTCAGGATTGGGTTACATCGACACCCGAACTAGTGATAGGGAGTGAAGTAGTTGAGTGTGTCGACCGCTTCACCTATCTTGGAAGTCTGATCAGCCCTTGTGGTCTGGTGTGTGACGAAATCTCAGCACGGATACAGAAGGCTCGACTAGCTTTTGCCAACTTGCGTCATTTATGGCGTAGGCGAGATATCTGTCTATCAACCAAAGGACGTGTTTACTGCGCAGCAGTTCGTTCCGTCCTACTTTATGGCAGTGAAACATGGCCGGTAAGAGTAGAGGATATTCGTAGGCTACTAGTATTTGATCATAGGTGTCTTCGAAGCATTGCTCGTATATCATGGGACCATCGAGTAAGTAACACAGTTGTTAGGAAACGGGTACTAGGTAAGGATGGCAAATCAATTGATGAAGTAGTGAAACTTCATCAGTTGAGATGGCTTGGACATGTGTTACGTATGCCCAATGACCGACTGCCTCGACGTGCGATGTTCAGTGGTATAGGAGTAGGTTGGAAGAAAGCTAGGGGCGGCCAGACCAAAACATGGCACAAGTCCATGAAGTCACTGACAAGTGAACTGAGTCATGTTGGTAGGTGTAGACTTCCTGGTTGGGGACCGCGAGACGACAGCAACCGATGGTTAGAGACCCTGAATGACATGGCTCAAAATCGTTTGCAATGGCGCAGGTGCATCCACTCTTTGTGTTCTCCCAAATTCTAATCTTCTGAATTCTTCATGTCCCTTTTTTCCTCTTTCCAAATTTCTTTCACTGGATTATACTCTTTAAATAACATCTCCAAACCCTAATCTTCCCGATTACTGCTTATACTTTTATTACGTCTACCACTACGGGATTTGAATCGACAAGTGCATCTCTGTGCTAATGTGGTGTGGCAACTCGAACTGATGTACGTACGTACGAAGTTCTACGTTGTTACTGACTGACTGAAATCAAATCAAATGTTGATACAGAGATGGTGATCAAATTTATTAATCAAGGTCTACAAATCTAATTTTATTGGTGATTATAAACCCTATGCGCATTACTTTACTCTGAAAATTCATATTTTCTTATTGCTGATATCTCAAATATTATTAACTTGTCAAAGGATTGAGACACCCGTTCAAAAACGAAACTGATCAAGAGGCATATTCGAAAGTTTGGATCACTTTCTTTGACTGTACAAATATTAAAATCAACCCACCAATTGCAGATTTGTTTTAAACTGAGTAAATATGAATGTTAACTGTATGTATTTATCTACCATTTAAAGAAGGTTAGAAAATATCGCGCTACTAAACACTGGAAAACTCAAACACAAACATTATATTCCTCGATCTTGACTACTTTCTATCTATCAACAAAACGAGATACAAATATATTGAACTTCGTGGAAGAGTTGTAGCAAATGAACTGGTAGAAAATTTTAATAACTGCATACAGGTGAAAGATACTGACTGTTATAAACATTTTTGAAATATGTTATAAATAATGACAGTTTCAGTATATGTTACAGAGATATTTAATGTAATATTATATAGTTGGTGTTGAGAATTTTTCATTGTACCAAAATTCATAGAGCTATAATAACCATTATTATTCATTTTTGAATATCAATAATGGGAAACTATGAGGCTTTCTAATTAATAAAAAAGTGCATACGTAGCCTCAGCGTTGAACAAGTTTTGATGATTGTGTATAATAGATGGAGGCGTTATGTTTGAAGATATGGGTAGCGATTTTGCCGAAGTTTCGATATGTGAGCAGGGCGGCTTAATTGAGCAGATTTCATTGTCTTTTTGGACATTATCAGAACAAATATTAGATAGAAGCGAGTTACTCGAATCCCGCCATATATGATGAACAGTTCATTCTATTAACCTTGATCTTGATTATTTATTGAAACCCTTATTTTGTTATTTTGTGTATATATTTATTTTGATTGTCAGTCAGTACAAAAATTCCATTTCTTTTGTAAAACAATTTCTAATTGAAAATTATGTTTACATATAGACATTATCGTTAGACAATAAATCGGAATATAAACTCTAAAAAATATTCAGTGAACATTATTAGATACGGTAATTTAATATTTGAATTAAAGAAAACACATCGGGAGCTGAATATGACGAGGATAAAGTAACAACTTTAGATAAGTTTTCATTATAAAATCTGTTAATTGATAAATTAGTTTGTTTTCTAACAAAAAAAACCGGTACTAGGACCGCTTAAATATGTGCAGATATAGTTGAATAAACAAAGTCTATTATGTCATATTTATTTTTCTGTAAAATTGACAATCTGAGAAAAATTACTACAATATACAAACATAAAATAAAAACATGAATTAACAAGAAAAGTAAGTTTGCCTTAGATATTGAGAGGAATATACGTAATGTGTATGTGCATTTACAAAACTATGACTGATCCTTAAGTTATAACTAATTACAGAGTTTAAACACTAATTTTCGGTGTTCAGGAATATCATGTTAGACAGATATCGGATACTTTTACAAAGATCTTAGACTATGTAATATACAATAATTTAGTTCATTGACTGGAAAAAAATTCAGCTAACAGTCAAATAATATGCTTTCGTCTTCTGAAAAATAGTTTACCTATATGTTGTCTGATCAAACACCATATAAAGTAATGGATGTTGGTTTACATTACAGACTAATATAATGACTAAAGATTACAGAGTACTAAAAAACTGTTTCATCCAAATTTACGACTCATAAATAAGGGTTCGATACCCCATACCTCCTGAAGAATTCCTAATGTTATAGTAATCTTTTCAGAAGAATACTCGGAATCTTAGTGAAATGAAGTAACCGCTAGAATTCAACTGTTTTGAAAATGCAGCGGATCTCCTTTGATAATGCATGCGTTAATTGTCAGATGTTGAAAACGTTAATTACTAGGTTAAACATTTCATGTTTTCCTGCAAAACCTGCAATTCCTGAAGAGGATGTGGTTGTGAGCTGTTTAGGAGATTCGTATATTATATTGGAAGAGATATTCATCTCTATAAATCATCTACCTTCTTGAATAAACTATCTAGGCCTAAAAGACATTTGAAAGTCATAGAACTAATGTTTTATCAATCAAAAATAAATGTTTTTTTCATTTCAGCGGTCTTTTTCAAAATACCTTATCAGAAACTTTTACTTTACCGAAATCAATAGTTTTTCCATAATAAATAACTAGAACTACAAGCACTCAAACGAGGACAACAGCTGATGAAATTAATTAAGAATTTCTTAAATTATTAAACATTTGGAAACGAACACAGAAAAAACTTACAAATATTGTTCTAAATGTGATGACTTAAAATTTTCTGGTCTTTGAGGCAACGGAGGTGGGACAATAACTGGATCAAGCAAATGAGTAGATGACAATGTTGTATCATTAATGATAGTGGAATTCGTCTTTTCAAATTCAAGTCCAATAAGATCAGTTGTAGATAATATACGACTTTTATTATTGTTATCATGTTGTAAAATTGAATTATCCTGAAAGTTAAGATCTACACAACTGCTAACCATATGAATACTACCATTATAAGGTGTAAATAAATCATTTGAAATTGTAGTATTTAATTTCGATGAAAATTCATGAACAGGTGAAGTAGTTAGAGAATGTGAAATAGAAAATATTTTATCAAATTCAGAATCAATTTCATTATCAGTTTGTGATAAAGGATCAGAGATATTTACTTTCTTTGCATCAACTGAATTATTATTATTGTTAGTTGGATAATCATCAAATTCATCTTTACTATAATTACTACTAATACTGCTACTAATATTCATGGATTGTTTAATTAACGGTGGAGCTGGTCTAGGAGGCGGTGGACGATTACGAGCTATAATTAAAGTAGACATAAATGACAACAATAATAATGGAGCAATCAATTTTCGTTGAAAAAAGAAAAAAAAATGCAGTTGTATTGAATCATTATATGTTATATATAAGTCAAGCACTAAGATTTAATTGAATTCTTTCATGGATAAAACTAAACAGATTAACTGTGAACTTAATATTGGTAATCTTCACAGAAGAAATTCGCTCTGTTAATACCTTTGAAGATTTAAATTGTTTGACTATTAAACTAAAGACACGAATAATATCAGATCTTTTAAACTTCTGAAAAGTTGATTATAGACAAGAAAGCCTCTTTTTTCAATTATCTTGAAAATAAATGAATTATAATGTGATAAAATGAATTAGTTACTAATAAGTTCTTTAAAAATAAATTTTACCACCCTTCAATTAATCATTGCCTTAAGATATAACTGAGTTTCACGTTAATAGGAATACATATGTTTAAATATTCTAGTGATGGTTATAATGGTATATTTCGTAATATATAAACCAGTTGGATCGGATATTATAACACTAAAATACTGATAATAAGCGAATTAGCTACACACCAATGTTTCAGGTGGTTGTAGTTTTGATAGAAGCGTCTATCTTCTAAATCTTGATTGATATTGCTACAAGATTTCCATAATTACTTAAAATCAAACCAGGAGTTGCCTTCTAAGATTTCTACTATTCTATGGAATATAAATTTGTTTATTTGTTTATTATTATCGTAACAATCTACATGGACACACTAAAGGCTGACAGTTTACCGCTGTTTAAATCAGTATTTATTCGATTAGTAACCATCGTTAGGCGACATGAGTCTGTTAGTATCATTTTAAAGATTGGGCATTAGTTTGACAGTTGAGCGTATGAATTTGTACATAAATCTGAATAGTTAACAACTATGGTTTAAAATAATCAACTTAACAGGTAAACAGTTGATCTTGAACAGTGACAAGTAGACAACTACTCGCAAAATGTTTATAGAAAAGTGGGTTGTCAATTAGAGCATTCGACTTTACAATTAAATCACAGGTTCCATGTTCCCATCAATTAATCTGTTCTAGTTAATCAAGGATTATCACAAGCCCTGTACTTGATAAACGAGTCAAACGTAGAAAATACACGGAGTTAGAAAAATCAAAGCAAAATTTTTAAAATAGGAGATACGGAGAGAAGGAATTATGCACAACGAATCACAGTAATTGGGGAGATGGATTGATATTTATCGCATCTATATTAAAGTGTAACCACAGTACATCACTTTGTAAAACGGAATAGTGAAGAAGAAATAGAAGAGGAAGACCATGTGCAACCGTCTCTCTGTGTTTATATTTACTCCAATTTAATATGTTGAATGAGTGAATAACTATTTTGGGGAATATAATACATAGGTTGTTAAGTATTCTACACTAGGTCTTTAATAATGATGTATACGAGAACACAGGAGCTCATGAACCATATGATACTGTTAATTACTGAGATCGTAAGACTATCTAACAAGATAATAATGTTTTAAATACCTTTCGTTCTATATCTGTTGTTAGATTAGAAATTAAATTTGTTGTTCTCCACAAAGTAATGCATGACAGTTCGGATTTCGAGGGTTAGTCTTTCTTTAGTGAGCTTTTTATACGACGTGACGTTTGTATACAATATGAGACAAGTTGCGTAACACTTAAAATACGTCTTATTACTTATTAGTAGTTAATGTGTTTAATACTGAAATTAACGATTGTTGCAACAGTAACTAAATTCAAATGACCGTAAGGAACTTCGGTTCATAATGAAATACATACCATGACAGAGTTCAAAATTTTAGTATGTACTAAATTAAGGAAGACTACAAAAAGTTATCATAACCTAGATTAGTAAATCTTGTAATGAAATCTGTTTAATTTCGACGAAAAACCCACTATCCCATACTTGATTTTGTTACCATATTTTTATGCGGTAAATACAGAAAGTAAGCTAAGTAAAAAGCCTGTACGTATTCGAAAGACAATACTTTTCGAATATCATTATTTTTGATGAAATATCGATTTACGGCATATCATTTCAGCTAAATAAAACTGAGAAATAGATATTCAAAGACTAAAATCATCATAACCAGTTTTGTAAATATTTAACAGCTTGTATAACTTTAGTATAAGTTGACATTAAAAGTTGTAGTAATACAGAATATTTTTCTGGCATATAATGTAATACCATCTATCACATTATTCTTGTACCACTGATAATAAAGATGGATTTACTTGAATGATCCTCCATATTCACCGACCCGGTTAGTGCTCCGGACATTCGCTTTTCGTCTTCTTAATTTCGTAAACAACACCCCCACCGCGAGAAGACAATGAGTAGGACTTCGCTGGCAGTGGTTGTATGCACGTGGCCATTTGAGAGCATTTCGAGAGGGAAAGTTGACTCCTCCCACTCTCGGCTGTTGGTTGAAGTTAGGCAGTAAAAAGATGGATGCTGGTTCAGTGGTTCGCGTGCGAGATCGAAGATCTTGAATTTGATTCTCAGTTGTAAGATTATGGATGTCCATTGCCCAGAAGTTCTACAGTAGGACGAAACGGCCGTTCACCACTTCCAGGTTTACAATGATTTCTAACTTGGATCGGTTCGTGATCTTACTAAAACTTCAAAAATCTCCACAACCTTAAACTGATAATAAAAATTCCATCAACACGAAAGTAGTTTAATGGGCTGCTGATAGGATTTAAAATAACCACGTGAATGAAAGTACTAAATAAGCTCTTGAAAACATTCTTTAAACTTACGTTGTGATGGTTCAACAGCCCGGTTGATAGTTAAGTTAGTAATATCATTTTCGAAATCTTCATTATCATTATTAGAAGTTTGTCCATTGTTGTCATCAAATTTAGAAGGTCGTTGTTTATCTAATTTCTTTATTGAAGGTAATGCGTTGAAAATTTCAGCTGGTATTCGACAATCATTTATATTAGATTCTTCACGTTCTGAAATCTCAATCAATCTTTGCATACGATCTAACCAATTTGTAGAATTGTATAATGAAGTGGATAAATGAATTTCATAACCACCAGTTATTTTAGGTAGTCCGTTTGATGAAGAATCCCATGGTATAATATAATTATCCAAAAATGCCGCAGCGATAGACGCCTGTCTGGGAAAAAATGTGTATTTTAACTAAATAGCCTTAAAAAAAGTAAATGTTGTTAAACAAACACGTCCTACACGGAAAATTATATTTTATATTTCTAAATTAGATTATTCACAAGTTCTATGCTTGATAATTTTTAGAGTATGGGACAACGAGAATTAACTGGAGCTTTCAGAAATAGTTTATTTGTTAATTAACACCCACAAAATTAGAGAAACGTTTTAACGATTATAATACAAGGTTAGCTTCTTTTTTGTGGAGTTCCATTCTCTAAGCTAGATGGTTTAGTTGTGGAGCTTGCATTTTTCCTCTGAACAACATTATCAGCACATAATTCAGGTTAGCTTCATGATTCTAATTTGATATGTTCCATATCTGTTCAAGATCTTATCAGTGAATTATTTTGGGACTAAATACATACATTATCTATATCAGTTGACAGTCATTCGATGAACATGAGTGTTATACCTAGTTGTTTTTCACAGTGACTAATTTAGTCACGGTTCGAATAATCTGACAGTAGTGTTTTTAATTGTATTTCAGTACAGAGTAGGGAAAAACCCCAAGGAAATCTACTGTGAATACAAATTTCAAATACTCTTCGCTAGTCATTGTGTTGACAATAACTGACTCACACCTGTTAACCCTCGTGGAGGAGCATAGGCTGTCCACCAGCATTGACAATAACTGAACTGGAGTTAAAAAGAAATGTCTAACAATGCAGTGTAAAAACCAAGTGAATAATATAGTTTACTCTTAGTGGTGTGATTACGAAGCGTTGACTCAGTGATGAAAACACTAGACTACCAACCACTATGTCACAAGCTCAAAATCCACTCAATCTACTTCGGTTTAAACAACTGGGCAGTATTGTCAGCCCTCACACTTCAAGTGTCGTTTAAAGGCAAGTGCATGAACTTATAGCTGGCTGATGGTAGTATATGAAATTGTTGTTTGATTAGATAAGTATACTACCTTGTATACATGATAAAATTGACAACTGTTTCAATATGACAGTTCTAATATGCATATCCTTTTAAAATGGTTTCTTCAAATACGTGATGTCAATCATTACGAAATACGAATGTTTAACAGTTTGCAAGATTATTATTTCAATAACGAAAGTGCAGACAAAATTATCTTCCTACTTTATATTTTTAAGAGACGAGAAAACTGTGAAATAAAAGGAAATTTTGATATTTAGTTTTCATATCAACCTGCATTAAAAGATCTGAAACTAGAAGCACAAGTCCCTAAAACGAAGAAAAAACTGATCAAAGGCACTATAACTCACTGAAGATTTTAAGATCTACAGGATTTTCAAATGAGCTCAATCACGCGAAACTAAGTACAGACAGATTGTAATTATGATCGTTTATACAAAGTCAAGTTTATTATTAATTTAACTCATATAGTAAGACTTTTGGCAAACTAAGCCGTTGGTGGGAGTCTGGTGGTGTTCAGTACCTCCCCGTCGCCCATATCATAAGAAGGACGTCAAATAGAGACGGAATTATTACTAATTATTATAATTAGTAGTGGTATTAGCATTAGTATTATTACTGATCTCCATGACATGGCGGCGGGATTGTAAAGAACAAACGAGAAACTGCTTAAAGTCAGTTAAACATGACTAATCCGTAGGTATTTTTTCTGTAGCATTATCTCCGTAACTTTTAAAACCCTGTCGCACCTATGTTGCAAGAGAAGTGGGTACTGTTTTTAAGCTTGACGTTGTCTAACTACTGTCTACGTCTAGGTTGTTAGAAATTTTGGGTGATTGTGGGGAGCACGATACTACCTGTTACAAACACCTTTCGTCTCAAACGTTGAACTTGATGTTTTCAGCCTTATCCTTGTTCAACAGACCCACCTGAATATTCAGAACATAAAGAAATAAGTGATTTGTTAATTATCACGATAGCAAAGAAAGATCATTGTATCAACACAACAGACATGGTGAGACAACTTAGATTAGAAGAGACCCATGTATTATCATACGTTGCGCATGACTGACTGTTGTCAAAAATTAATAATCATAAGTTGGAAAATGAACTTACTTAGAATTGGCATAAATCAATAGTATAGTAAGAGGATCTAGGAAATGTAACAGTAAAATTGTCCCATCCCTTGAAGATCCGATCAACTTTAGGCTTTCTAAGAAGTCTGTATCATTTAATAAGTATGGTTTAACATCTTCGGATAATAACTGTTTTGAATTACTTTCTATAATTTTTAAATCAACTTGAACAGTCGCATTGATTGGACCATAATCTTCGGTAATATCTGAAATAACTTTACGTCGAGATTGTCGTGAGATCTGTAGAAGATTGTGCAAAATATGAATTCAAATGAACACAATTTACATTTGGCAATTAGCATGATGAAATATAATGTTATTTTTCCTTCTTTCACGTATTAAGATCACAGTTTATCTTTAGTGAAATGTAAACTATATGAACAGTAAGAATTGAACGCTTCAGATAATATTCAATTTCAAAACGACAAATAACAATGTATGAAAATAGAAACAGAATATATTGCTTGAACCAAACATGATCGGTGAAATCTAACCTGAACTTCAACGCTGATAAAGAATTATTGCTTATGAAAGTTTATGTTCTACAGTCATTAATATTCAGCCACTGAATGTAGTACGTTTCTGTTGACCTATGAGCACCTTTACGGATGCCTTAGATATTGTATACAGTTACAAGTTTATGGTATATGTACAATCTTAAAGGTTATCTGTTTATCACAATAGAAAAGATCTGCTCAAAAACATTATCGTTAACGTACACTAGAAAAAGGTAGATAATTTCCTAGACTATAAATAGTAAAATGTTTTAGTACGTCATATAGCTGAATGACAAATACTTACAAGGCGTCAGCAAACAAAATGTTAAAACTGATATAAGCGTGAACACCGATCGTTTGTATGAATAAAGGTTGACAAAACAAAATTGTAACTGGTTTTACATGTTCAGAGGTGAAAAGATTTACACATAGATTGTTAGTTATGTCTGTAGACCCAGTCACTATGACTGTCTGCAACCACAAAAAAAGAATACTGGAAATATCCTAAGATTTAAACAGACACTTCTACAAATTATAGGTGAAAATAGTATTGCTAAAATATTAATCTCTTCTGTAGATATTTTGCTCATAGTCCATGTTTTTCAACTGGTTACAATGATGTTTGCAATCACATTAGATATGTATATATTGCATATTAAAATAACACTAGACTATTGGTTGGTAAAAAAAAATATCCACTGTAATTGCTCAAATCTCAAGATGATACAATTTATGTTAATTTCATTTCAAGATCCATATAATAATAAGGATTAATAGTTAAGTGGCAACAAAGAATTTCAACTCAAATTACAAAAAGAATATAATTTTTTTAACTGTCAAAAATGCAGAAAATATGAATACATGACCTGATCATATTAAAATATTTTAAATTTGTATGATAACTGGTAAATAAAAATGATTATGAATGCGTAAATTAATTAAGAATAATTAAACTTATCAATTCATTAGTTTTGTATTATTAATTTCTATGGAAATAAGTATGTAAATAACTGGATTCATTGTTTGAAAATTGAAACCGTTTAGATATACATATACATAGAACGGAGGGGAAAGAGATATGAATTGTTAAAGGTGAAACCAGAAAAGGCATGCGAAAAAAAGTAGACCTGTTAGAGATAAACGTAAGAAAAGATGTGTAAAACCAATATTTATTGTAAGTTAATGAGCAAAAAAGTTATATAAAAGCATGATATTTAGAATAATTTCATGAGGTTTTACATAGACATAAGTAATGTCACTCAGATATCAAAGAATATCTTAAAACAATAACTTTTGTTAACTTAATAGCTCCACCTGAAGCCTATTTTGAGCTACTGATAGTTTCAAGCTCATATAAAGAAGGAGGGTTAAGAGTAGAATTAGAGACCTCAATTTATAAAACACAACTCCGTAACGAAATCCCCAATAACTACAATAATAATTAAGTGCAACAAAAGAGTTGGGAGGAAGAACAAGTGCCGACAGACTGGAAAGAAGGATACCTCAACAGAATACTAAAGGAAGATCTCAATGAATCAGAAAACTACAGAGGCTTCACATTACTACCGGTACCGGGAGGAGTTTTCAAGTGTTGCTCTACCGGATGAAAGATTCAGTAGACGTCCAACTTCGAGGATCAGTCTTCCATAGACCAAATCGCGACACTACGGATCATCGTTGAACAATCAATTGAAAGAAATTCGTCACTATGCAGCAACGTCCTTGATTGTGAGAAGGTATTTGACAGAGTGGATTGGAGAGACACATTGAAGCTTCTTCGATACTATGAAGTACCTAAGACAGTCGTCAACATCATCCGGAATTAGTACAACGCACTACATTGTGAAGTCGAGCAAGTAGGACAACTAGAAACACATTCCAAGTGGAAAAAAAGAGTCAAACAAGGATGATTACTTCCACCCTTCCTTTTTTTCTGGTGGCTGACTGGATTACGAAGACCATCACAAAATAAAATTGACAGGTTGGATGCAACGAGACCATTTGGACTTCGCAGATGACCTAGCTCTTCCATCTCATACATGCCAACAAATTCAAGTGAACATAGACAGTGTAGCAGCAGTCTCTGCATCAGTAGGCCTACACACACACAACGGAAAGAGTTATATCATCAAATACAACACTAAGAACACCAACAAAACCACACTTGATTAAGAAACATTGGAAGAGATGGAAACTTTCATATAATTAGACAACACCATCGATGAACAAGGAGAATTAGATGTAGACGTAAAGGCGAGGATTAGCAAATCAGGTACAGAACTTCTACAATTGAAGAACACGTGCGACTCTTCAATACAAACGTGAAGAATTATAATGTACGGAGCTGAAACCTGCAGAACTATTACAACCATCATAAAAAAAGCATAAGTATGTATAAATATTTGTCTACGAAAGATCCTCAATGTTTGTTGACTGAATACGATCAGCAACAGCCTACTGTGACGGAGAACGAACTGACTTCTAGCTGAAGAGAGGATTAGGAAAAAGACGATGGAGGTGGATAAGACATACATTGTGGAAATCATCAAACTGTTTCATGGTGCAAGCGCTAACTTGAAATCCTGAAGGGAAATGAGAAAGAGGAAGACCAAAGAACACACTGAGTTGGGGATTTGAAGTAGATATGTGAAGAATGAATAACTGGGAAGCACTGGAAAGGATCGTCTAGGATAGAGTTGGATAAAGAATGCTAGTGGACGGTCTATGCTCCTCCACAAGAAGCAACATGAGTAAGTAAGTAAATAAGAAAAGAGGATTATATAATATTTTGATCTGGTCTATTTAAGACCTTTTTAAATGAGGCCCGGACAAATTGAAAAATGTAGTATTTCAACCTGCACAAACTACACCACGACCGTTTTCATTGACGCATTCATTAACCAATCAATTGTTTGTGTCAATTATGTTATACGACGTCAAATCACAGCATGGCACAAGCCTACAGCCTTTAAGTCGTTTAATAAAAGTTTTTAACCAGGTTCAGTTTAATTGGCCTTCCACTTTTTGATTGATGAATAAACAGGCATCCTGATATGCGCTGGTGTAATGAAAATAAATCAAATGAACAAACAACATTATATATATATATATATATATATATATATATATATATATATATATATATATATATATATATATATATCAGTCGGTAATTTCATTTCTGCATATTTTACCTACCACATGAACTTCTATATTGAATATCGCTCCTACGGGTCGATGGTCACTTGTTTTCAACTCCGCCCGATTGTACAGTAACAAACGACCGGGATTCCATTTTATACTTGGAGAATTATTCTGCATACAAATAATGCCATTTTCGTCTGTTTTAGGAAATGTCAATTTTACGCGACGCCATAATATACGATCAGTCCATGCAGGCGAACGTGCTTTCTCAGATGTATCATAGTCATCACAAAATAAATCATATTTGTATGTCGGCGCAAATCGAACGGGGCCTTCTTCAAAACCACGAAAAACATTACCAGCTAGTTTCTCAATTGTCAACTGATCATAACGTAGGAGATCAAGCCAAGAAGATTGTGCAGTTAACCGTTTGACCTCATTACCTGACAAATTAATACGATAATTGAAATCTCCACACCAAAATACATAATCATGACTAAGAATATTACGACCATTAGGTAAACTAAGACGACGACAAATCTCCTGAAAATCATCATTACGTTCACGAACAGCGGATTGACCAGCTGTAAAATGGCTGCAAACAAAGCATATTGATGTGGCACCCAACTAGATAAAAAGATAGATAAAGGGGTTAGAAAAACAACCATTATCTCAGTTAATGTCTTATAAACTGTACACACCATTGTTTGTAACACTGATTTACATTAAGTTTAGTCAAAAAATAATTTTCACGCTCGATAAAAAAAAGATTTAAATGTGCGCCGATGAAAGTTCAAACAAACTATATTTGTTTAACTGTACTATCTTCATTACTTCTAAAATTAAAATTGTGATTTTCAGGAGTAACATGAAATACATTAGTGTTATTTAATAAGTTTTAAACACAAATGCAAAACTTTTCGAATGAAGGAGTAATATTTCATATTGGAAGAATATCTATCTAATCAATTGCTATAGTGGGTAGTCAACTGAATGAACGCCCAGTAGACACATTTACACATTCGTATAAAAATATAAAATCAAAGCCAAATGACAGCATTGTTCCCTAAAATTGCATAACTGAATGTTGATTATTTTGTTAAATTGTTCAATAGAAATTTGTTTCAATTATCTTAACATTACATTACTAATGTTTAATATTATTAATAAAATATTCATTTAATGTATCTCTTCAAAACAAAAAAAAGATTCAAAGATTTTCATTAGCGATCAGCTGAAAAATTGAAAACTTTTAATTTAATTAATCTGTCACTTTAAAGTAATCTATATGTATAGAAATCAATACTCGTGCATGAAAAAAAATGGTTATTATCAGCGTATATACATATATACCTTGGAGATATTAACTCAACTTATAATGATCAATATACATAAGCATGACCTCATCTACGTGTAAAACATTGATTAGATCAATTCAAACAATTTTTATACAAAATAAAACACGTAATCTTTCTTTATGAGTTAAATGAAAGCTTTACAGTATTTATCAATTACAATAAAGAAATGAAACAATGTAAGGTTGACGTATTTTATTCATTAATGTAACTAAATATAGGAGTTACTGATGAACCTTCAGTAGAATAATTCATTAATTATATTATAAAACGAAGTTGACAACAAAATACAAAAATAAATTTGGGAAGATTTTAAACTATCGTTAAATCTGTCAATATCTAGGTTTTTAAAAAAATAACGAATAATATCGTTCATAGATGTTTAACAACTAGTAAATTTGAAAGATTTTCTGAACTGAAAATTTATGCAACAAGCAAGCATTATTTACGTCAATGCATAAATTGTTATGCTTATTATTTTTGGTATACACTGACTATGTATCATAAATGATGATTGATAGAAACATGAGACTGTAAAAATATTATGCACTAACTTAGAAAATGTGTAGCTTAAATGGTTGATTTTTAGTGTTACTTGTTTGTGAGTTGAAGGCTTTGACTGTAAAAGCATTGTTGTTATCAAATCATTCAACTGATAAAACAAAACACCACTAAACTTTATCTTTCAAATACTGGATTTAGGTGCAGTTTTCATAAGTAGTAGTATTATTCCTTAACTGAATGCCGATATTATTATACTTAAACCCGATAAAGGATCTGGTGTTGTTATTATGAATAAGTCAGATTACAAAAATAAAATGGAATCCATTCTCAGTGATAAAAGCAAATTTTTGGCTGATCTTGACTTTGATGGATTACGTAAATTAGAAAAGAAAGTGAACTCGAATCTTGTAAAATTGTTAAACATGAATGCTATTAACAAAGATGAGTTTAATTTATTAAAACCTATGGGTTCGGCATATCCTAATTTATATGGATTACCGAAAATTCATAAGCCTAATACCCCCCTACGTCCAATTCTATCTATGTGTCGGTCACCTACACACAACCTGGCAAAATGGCTTACAAAATTATTAAATCCTATCAGAAATCAATATTGTAAGTATTCTTTGACTGACTCATTCGAATTAATTAATTACTTAAAGGATATAAATATAAAGACAAAGACAATGTGCTCCTTTGATGTAAACACTTTATTTACAAATGTACCTCTTAGGAAAACCATTGATATTTTGTGTGACTTTATTTCTTCGGAAAACCTTCCACTACCTTTTCCTGTTAAAACTCTTAAAGATTTATTATTATTATGTACAGACAATGTAAAATTCACATTTGAAGGTGAACACTTCAGACAAATAGATGGTGTAGCTATGGGCAGCCCTCTAGGACCATTGCTAGCTGATGTGTTCATGGGATATGTGGAAAATTTAGTTGGAGACTCAATTCGAAAGATGAGTCTGTATAAACGATATGTAGACGACATAATAATCATAGGTGATAAAATTGAAGACATAAGCCACTTGTTAGAAAAATTCAATAGTAGTCAAAACCATATTTCCCTTACATGTGAAGAAGAGAAGAACAACCAACTTCCTTTTCTTGACATCCTGATTACTAGGAGAGATGATGGTTCCATCAAACGTGCTGTATATAGAAAACCAACATGGACAGGACAGTATCTTAATTTTCATAGTCACTGCCCTATTCATTATAAACGTGGTTTAATAAAGAGCTTATTCAATAGAATCAATCGTATTTGTACTAGTGATACTATTGAAGTAGAGATGAAGCTCTTGACCGATGCGTTAATCAATAATGGTTACTGTTGTGGATGCGCAGGAATAGACCAATAATTATCATGTTAAGTCCAATGGTGTCCTTGGACTTTAAATGGAATTTCCTATTGGTCGATATCTGTTCACTTGTGAATATTGTACAAAATGTTGTTTTCTATTTTTATGGTACGATGTGGTTTGTTTGCTTGGTATATAAACAGAGTATGTTTGAAATACAGTGATTCATATCTCAGAGGTTGTGACTTGTCTTCTGGACTCAACTGGCTGGGTTATACAGGGAAGCAGGACCAATCAGAACCCTAGGTCGTCCTACGTGTTTGTGCGTCTTTGGTCCGATCAATAATTCTCTCCCCCTTAATCCGCAGCATTATTTTTCACAGTCATAACAGTTACCCTTTGAAGTTCATAAACCGCTGGAAGGGTTGCAATATGACTAGACCTATGACGCTTCTGGCACCCAAAAAGCGAGTTTATATTACGCTACCATTCAGAGGTGACACAAATAGTCTCATGTTGAAACAGAGACTTAAATTAGCTATCAACCGGACATTTTATGCAGCCCAACTTGTCATTATCGAAAAGACAAGGTCTATGTTTCACCAAAAGCCCAAACAGCATGAAAACGATTGTGTCACATCCCATTGTGTCTACAAATTTACATGTATGTGTGGAAACACGTACGTAGGGAGGAGCAATCGTGATTTGCAATTAAGGGTGGGTGAGCATATACCAAAATGGTTGCAAAATCAGATGAATTCCAATGGTGAAATAAGACCACAGGATAGACAGACATCATCATCCATTGCGAAACATTTGATTGAGACGGGTCATAAGGTTGATATCAAATCAGCATTTGTTGTGTTGTACAAAAGCCTTCAAGGACGTATACTAAGGTTTATTGAAGCCTTGGCTATACGAAAATTGAAACCCCCTTTATGTGTTCAAAAACAATTTGTACTTACACTTAACCTACCCTGGTAGTACTGATTTACTGTCCAGAGTGGTAATCACATTTGTTTTTGTGTACTTTAATATTTTTCCTTTGTTATGACTTACCCTTAACCTGTCTAGTTGACCTTTTAATTTTTCATATATAAATGTTCTTAACAAGTATATGTGTGATCAGATTGTTCGAAATGTATTGCGCAAATATATCACATAATTCTGATAAACTTCGTCTTCCCATTGCATTATCGAAATTTATCAAAGGGACTAATTGTTTTAAATTATTCCTTAGCTTAATAAGACGAACTACTATTTTAAAAGGTAGTAGCACAACTAAATATTATGCTCAAGTAAAATAAGCTTAGGTTATTTACACTGGTATAATATTCGTAATTATGAAAACATGAACGATCCCGAAAGTAGATTTCAAAGTTCTTCACTTTTTAAATCCTTAGTAGGATGAAGACTGTCGCAAGTTTAAATAATCAGAAATACTTTTCATCATGACTTGAACTAACTAACTTCAAATAAGCCCAATCGCAACAAAACTTCACCTCGATAATAATTATAAGCCTACCAAATGGATTCCTAAATATTAACTGCATAAAAACTATAACCAGTAGACTTTAAATATAACCAGTGAAAAGTGCGATAACGGACTATGGTTAAGCGATACATCTCTAACTGACTAATATTATAAATATATGTCACCAGGTCCTGATACAGTGATATAGAATAGATTTAACGTGGTTAGCTGCAGAATCCAGAGATCTTTAAGCATCGTGATTGCTGCTAAAACACAGTAGAAACTTAAACTTATGACGTTGATTATTTAGCATTGTACAACTTGACTTTTCTAAATGACTAACTATATGCTTAATAAGTTTGCATAGTTGTCAGTGTCCTAGTAAGGTAACTTAGAAGGTAAACTTGCTCGATAACTTAAACTAAGAAATAAATTTGATCTGGATATCGAAAAATATGTAACCCATGAAAAAAGTAACGTAAAACATAATGAAGTGTTAGTTCGAAAAAAAAACTTCTGACCACGTGAAGAGGTTACAAATTAAAAAGGACTTTTCTGAAATACTGTACTATTATTATAAAAATATGTGCAAGACAATAAGAACCTCGATTTCTGAGGCATCTAGGGTACTTGTCATGTCAATATACAATGACGGAAAAAGCACCTACTAAAATAGTTATTCGGGAAGACATACGATAAGCTACTAAGTAACCAGCTGTGTATAAAAAGGTAATGGAAGAAAATAATTGGAACAGAGGCGTAAAGCCCAAAACATAAAAAAGGATAGAATTCAATGAACGTTCAATGAATGCGTCAAAATAAAAATCGACTGTTACAACTTCTGAAGATTTACAACTACATTAATGAATAAAAGGAACGGAATAAATTCAAGTAAACACTTACCAAAGCCCTAAAACAACGGGGGGCGTCAAGCACCATATCCGAAAATTAACGGAAATGAAGTTATTTACAGAATATTATTTAGTATAACGTGATATACATAATACAATCGAGTGAATAAAGACTATAAATTACAACAGAACACAGCGATTAAAAGTGGATAAACGGTTTAGCCAAACTTAACATTCGGTAAGACGTGTTGGCAATTAATTGTGTACCGAATAAATAAATCAATTGATGATTCATACTATAGTGTGAAATCTGTAAAACTATGAATCATGCAGAGCGCATAAACATTATGTATTTTCTTTTGGGGGAATATAGAGAGTGGACTCTTTTAATGTTACGTTACTTATTTAGAGAGGGCGAGAACAAAATAACTTGCCATTTAGAATAAATGTATTTCATACAGTTAAAAATTGACTGAAATACGTTATAGTAAATTACATTTTAATCTCAGTTCAAATAAAATATTTATACTCCAGATACCAAGTAAGCGAAATTTCTTTTTAGAAAAAACACTATCAATAGTATTTATTACTAGTAAAAAAAGAATGAATTGGGAGTAAAACCTAAGTTTGAACTATTTACAACTCACAACGCTGCAAGTTGATTTGCATCAGTAAACTTTTTTTAAATGATTTATTTTCGCGAGTAGGTTCATACAATCCTTTTATCCATTCAAATACTCTATAAATCTTTAGGTTTTAGTGGAATAGAGTTCAACCATATCGGATATGAGACAGATAACCAACGATGGCATTGAAAGATGCTTGCTCAATGTCGCGAAATGATTAAAATTAGATATGTAAACCATTTGATGTCTACTAATTGATCGAAAAGTTAAAATTCTCCATGAGGATTCAAAGTTCAGGGTTCGACCTCCAGTGATGGCGATAATTCTCACAGTTGGGGAGTCATATACTAGAATAAAATAGATGCCCATCGCTTCTCAGTTTTTAATGGGTGTTTGACTTAAATTAACCTATGATGTAAACTACAATATTCTCTTAGGTGTTAACAGTATTTACATTTAGCAAAATAAATGGAATTAGTCGCTTAAAAGTTGAGACCTTCAGATTAAAACTGAGTCAAGTACAAATACATACACAAGTTGTCCAGTAAAATGGCATAAACTATCGTGAAGAGTAACAGGAAGTGATAAGGATCAATCAAATTTACCTGCAATATTACTTTTCAATTATATACAATCCAGAAAAAATATTCTTTAGATACTCACACATGGATTTATTGAATTGAACGAAATGAATCGCTAAGTAAAAATGTGAATTGTTACCGAGAACACAATTTAGCATTTTTTAACTACTCTGTTTCTCAGCAACTTTGATACATGTATATCTAAACGAGGCTAGTCGTATTATAAGTAAAAGAAAGTTTTTAATCATCTGCTAGAAACCTGACCAACTACTGTACTACAGTGTCTTAGTTATTTGCATACAAGCGAAGCGGTGACAACCAACATTACGAAACCTGAGTTGGAGATTCACAAGACATTTATCATCCATAAAGTTTAATTATCTCGAACTATTAGAATACAATATAAGTAGTAGCACTTCTGATATATGATTCGCCTCCCCATCATCAGTCGTACCAAGATATTTGAGGCCATATATGGGCAACATCGTTTATTGAGCATGCCTTACTGATTATTCAGGAAATTATCCTACATCAGTTGGCAAATTCAGTCAATATTAAGCTGATTAGTACCTTCTTGTATATGCGTCAATAACAGATTTTCCTCTTCATTTCACCGACAAATAAACGTTTGTAAACCAAGGTACTCATTACTAACCAGAGAATTTTATGATAAAATACATCTGATTAGGATAGGTCAAGACGTTTATCCGGCTTTGTTCGATACTCGGTTCGATTACTTTGGAAAAACAAAGATTACGATCCGATTGACTAGAGTATGGATGACTTCGATGAGGCAATTAAAAATATATTGGATACTCTGAACTAACTACTCATGAGTAGGCACAACTGCTAGAGAAAAATGAAAATAGGAATGTTGACGAAGGGCAAACCGATCAATCATCGAGAAACAAACACACAATACACTTCTGAAATAGCCAACGCCTACATCACATCGATAAGAAGATTGAAAAGTAGTTTTTTTTTCAAAAAAGAGGATAATGCAAAAAGAACGGATTTTAATAGACAGGTAAAAAGATGGACGGACAGACAGAAATAGCTATTATTATAGTGATACAAGAACACGTGATAAGTGAATAACTCACATGACATAAGGGGAAATTTTGATTCTCAATAATTAATCGATAGAAACGAAATTTCTACTTTATGTATTCATTACAATCTTTCAGTACGTTTACAAACAAAATTGAAGATAGATGGTTAGTCGAAATGCCTCATAACAAATTTACAAGAAATTGAAATGCAGTATTGAAAAGGATGAAATTTGTTTAACTCGTTGTCTGTCGATTTAATATGTTTAATCTGTAAAGAGGAGACATTGAGTTTACCAGAAAAGCATTGAGATCAGTTGATAAGTTCTGATTACCTTTAGTTACCCTGTTTTGGCTGGTCCTATGTCAAGCCCACGTAGGTTATGATAGCTTCTGGACAAACCAATTTATCCATTCGTTTCAAGCTATATTTTGACCTTGTCATTTATTCGCTTATCAACTTTGGCTGATCTTATATGAGCTATGTGTGTGCACTGCTTATCCTACCTATCACATGTCAAACTTATTTTTGTCTGACTATAAATATTGATTCACGTTTGGCTGAATCGAGTTGACATACTAGCCTTTCCCATTGAGCGTCATTTTGTTTTGCTTCGTTATCCGATCAACGATTGTACAAAATATACGCATTCTAAAACCCATTTATGTATTTGACTTACTTAATTCCGTTATTCACTGGCGCGATTTAAGTCGATGATTATATATGAGGACTGCGTACATGTATATTTCCATAACAATCATTCATACAATAACAAATAAAGTCAGATTACGAACCACTAAAATCCTTCAAGTTACTTCGATGAAGCAGTTTTATCACAGAAAAAACTGGAGATTAGTAGAAAGATGTTTTCCCTAGTATTACGCACTGTATCAATCAAACAATTGAAATTTAAACAACGTAGATCTGTGTGGCTGTATTTTTTATACTGACAAAGGATAATGATTATAGTAAGAAGGTCGGGACTACAACGGATAGAAATGTTCTTTGAAGAAGACGAAAAATACAGTAATAGATCAAAATGTTAGGCCTTCGTTTAGCATTCTAGGATTTTCGGATTACATAGGTAGACGTGATATGAGTGGTGGTTGCCTAAAAGAATTCTTATTTGTTGTTAAATAACTTACCATCGCGCACAAAAATAAGTTAACAGTGTCAATGTTTAAATTATTGAATGACGAAGGTACTTTATTTCTAAGTGATATATCTTTAATAGGGGCGAATTACATAATAACACAGTGAAGTTAACATCAAGTCGAGAACAGTACCAAACGGTCAGTGGATTGCATTGTGATGCTTTAATTTTTCTATCATAACAACTTGATGTAATTCAGTTTTAATTACATTAACAGCTTCACTTGATTGTTGATAATATAATTATTACATTAGATTCAAGTGAGAAATAATTACAACAGTTGGTTATTGATTAGTGAACAATACATTGTGTTCTAGTTTTGGATGTTGGTTGTACCCAACCGGTCAAATTACAATGTACTAGTTAAAGCAAGAGACTCTGTATCGTCGTTTACGGTGGTCGACGTTAGGAGGTAATCAGCAAGAAGTCATTGGAGTTGAGCTACGGATTGATTGACACTCATTAGTAAAGCAAGTCTATAATATTAAGAGGATTTGAACCCACAGATAATCCAGTGTCACGCAGTCAGGGATGTTGCCTCGAAACTACTCAGGTGGTGTTTAACCTTTTGTAAGACCGATAAATTACCAATAACTAATTCCATGCTGTTCAATCCTTAACAATACTCAAATTCTATCGACCGGGTAAGTTGTAATGTCATTAAACTACAAGTTTGTGAAAAAAAACCCTAATTATGTACAAATGTGCTGTCTATCTGAATTATTTTTACAAAGTCAGATACATTTAAAGATGGCAGATGTATTTGCATACTATGAGGGGAACTTTTATTACTAAAATAAGCTGATACATATCAAAAACCATTAAACTGTTGCTGCGTAGTGAAAAACTGGACACCTGTTAGAAAACCATTTGACAATCTAAGTATTATTACAAAGAAATAATTACTGAAATATTTACTTGGTTATTCTTTAATAAGTAGTAATTACTACCACAAGCGGACAAGATCAGAAGTATACAGAGGAACAAAATTCAGCACTTACTTGAAATCGTATTGCTACAGCCCCTTTATTTCCTGCAGTTCCACCCAGTCCAGTTTTAACTGATGAAGTGGCAATATTTCTAAGTGAACCAGCAAGACGTTTACGAACAAATAAAAATAAACATACACCTACTAATTGAACTGATGTAATTAGTAGATAGGAATCTTGTTCATCAGTATCACGATTTAAATGGCGTTGTAAGAACTGACCCCAATCACGTTGATTAGCTGATGGTTTGGAACCGGCAACAATATTTGATGTAGTTAAATCAACAATTTCTTCAAAACCAATAGCAAATACATCCATTGGTTTATTTAATTCATCTGAATCAGTAAAATCAGGGCTTTTATAACCCCAGTTGACGTTTTGATTAACAGTTTGTGCTAAATCAAGCAACCAATCGGTAACACATTCATGTTTATGAGCAACACTACGAAAATGTTTACCGCCGTTTACATTCCATGTACCAACAAATAAGCGTAGATTGTGAATTTGAATAAATTCTGGATATCGATGTAAAATATTAGTCAACAGTATAGGTGTTGAATGAAGTAATCGTCTAGGTAGATATTGTTCTATTTTACAAAATATAAAAAACATAACAAAAGCAAAACAAAATTATTTTCTAAAAAATAATAATAATGCTTATACCGCTTTATTTGTAAACAATGAATAATAGAATGATTTTCTTGTTCTCTCCTGCTCAAAACCGATTATCAATTATATGTATAGACATATTGCGTAATGACCTTCAATTTTCTACATTTAGTAAGAGCTTTCATATAGGAAACTACTCTTATTTTACTAAACACAGTGTTACACGTGAATTGAGGTTTAGCTATCAACTTGTAACTATCACGCAAGTCTCGTATCCATCGTAGAAATAACAAGCGTTCAATCTCTACTGTATAAAGTGAGGAATTCCGAAAAAAAGCATTCACACGACGGATAAACATAAACACCAACATACGAAAGTAAGATTTAGACCTAATCTTATAAATCAGTCGATTGGTCTTAAGTTACAGTTTAGATAAAAGTGAAGAATTTGAATCCAACCATTAAGTCAATACCTTTTCGACTTCAACCATCATTCTTTGAAACTAAAAATAACTGTCGAGTAATATAAAATGTTATTTATGCAAAATTCCTAATTCTGGTGAAGTACAAATGATTGCAATATAAAATCTCTAAGCCACAAAATGCCCTGGTACGGCCAAGGGTAGGGAGAGTTAGCTCTCCCTCTCGAAATGCTCTCACATGGCCACGTGCATACAGTCACTGCCAGGGAAGTCCTATTCATTGCCTTCTCGTGGCGGAGGCACTGTTTACGAAATTGAGAGGATCAAAAGCGAATGTCCGAAGCTTTAACCGGGTCGGTGGATATAGAGAATCCACCTACGGGAGTTAGAAAACCCTGATTCCAAATCAATGGTGTATATGGGCTCCAAAATCCTGAGGGAACAAATGGCGTATGAACCAATTGTTGGCCACCGGCTACCATGGGACTGCACCTTGTGACGTTGCTCCACTACCTTGTGGACCAGACCTTTAGGTCGAAGGCTGCGGGCATTGCCCCCTAAGGAAACCACCTACTTTGTTTTGGGCACCCGGGCAGTATCTCAATCCTCACATAAATCGAATGACTTGTGTGGCGCATATCTGTTTGGTGCATCCTTGAACCAATGTTTATGTGTTTAAATAAATAAATAAAGCATAAGTGAATATCAATTCTGAACAAAAGTGAATATTAAAAATACCAGCTAACTGCTAAAGTAAGTTGTATAAAATTTCCTATGGCTGATGATACACAAACAAATATTGGCTTATGGGAATAATTATTGGATAAAGCCGGTAGATATCCTATAAACCTAAGTTTATCAACAGATATCATACCTCTAGAATAAATCGTCAGCTTACTGATAATATTATTCAGTAATATATTGATACTAACCATTCAACAATGAATGATTCCAAAGCTTTAATCAATTAAAACTAAGAAATTACCAATAGTTTTACTTTGATTTGAGCAATCGAATGCTACCACGATACAGAATAGCTTATAATCCATAAAACACTATTTAATTGTTAACTTAATTGCATCAAAAACGGGACATGAATCAAGCAATCATATAAAATAAACAAACCTCCGACAAGTTTCATCCATCCTTGTAAACTGGAATTGGACAACAACATATGCATAGCTTCTTGTTTTGCACTATCGAAGAAACTATGCTGAATCGTCCGAACAGCTGTACGTTGAGCATCACGTAGTTTTGACCGACCACTACCTAAAGCACCAGTTCCAGCGTATATTCGACTTACATGATCACCATTTTGTTGCCATAACTATGTCGTAATATAAAATATATGAAAGATTAGTAAGACTAATTTTATGGGAGAAAAATATCCTAAATATGTGGCAGAATTTAACTATATTCCAATGAATTTAATGAGAAGATAAATCCCTTTACGAAATAAACTCACATTGAAGATCGAGTGAACAATAATAAGACAGTTACTACAAGCCTGAGAGTTACGTTTCTAATGCTTACTAAGAAAGGACATGAGACCTGGTTGCTACTAAAGTGTTGTTTTCAATCTAATCAACGAGCATAGTGACAAATATCATGTGTTTCAACAGCACTTGTTTTCTGAAATCCCATCAAAACATTACTAAATATAATTACTCCCTCTAAATTCCAGCCAATCGAAACTATATGGTAGACAGAGGCATAATTGTCTCTCCGTTACACGATAATTTCAGATAAAAGATGCCTGATCAAGTTGAAACGCATGACTTGATGATTGTTTATTCTCATAAATTACTTGAAAAAATCATCAGATCCATGAGGTGTTTGAAGTAAGCAAGATAAAATAGATCTCATTATACTGATAACTCCAAAAACATAGTAAACTACTCTCACACCTACGTACAATTCAATATATGACAACAGTAGTAAAGTGCGTTCAACAATTTATCCATACAATTATAACATTGAGAAAAGAACCCTGGAGTGTTAGTTATGTTTCTTAAATTAAAAGGTTAACATTCATTTTTAAACCGTTGTCACTTAATTCGTTTTTGACAAGGAGGATAAACAGTGGATATGTATGCGCCATCGTGACGAATTTTGAACTAAATAACCACTGATTCGTGATATTTGTTGCACAATAATCCAGAATTCTACACTCCCTTAATAAGGTAATGGCTTAGTGGTTAAGACATATGACGTACAACAAATTGGTCTCAAGTTTGAACTGCATTTCGCCAACTTTGATTTTAAAAAATGAGTATTATAACTAGCATTCACAAAACCAGCGTAGTTGAAAATCGAATACATGAATTTGTACTTAGTCGCATAGTTATAAAGTTTATAAAACATTAGCTGAGATAGTCCAAAAACGAGTTAGATATTGTCTATACACTGGTATTGTAGTGAATGATCACTTGGTGAGGAAAATCAATTTATTGTTCTATGCAAAATTACATAAAACCTTTGTAAAATATGGGAATTACACATTAAATATATCATTTGCATATCTTCCTTCAGTTGTTATTTACATACTTTGTCATTCTTTCGATCCTGCTGTTATTATGATTGCTGTTCGTTTTCCTTCCTCTTCATTTTATTTCACTCTTATGCTGGCAGGTATTCTACTTCCAATTCCTGCTATATACTACTTATGTATGTTCGCATAAGTAGCACACACCATAGTATTACATTTTTCGGCACAAGTAAAACGATGTCTTCAAACATCAACGTTATTCTATTAGTGATAAAATATGTACAGCATTTTTAAATTGTTCAACTTGAACGAATATTTTATATTAGCATCTACAGTCTTGACCCTTAATGGACATTCAAATATTTAGCTAAAAAGTGTTTCTAACATAATAATTAACTTTTAATGAATACATATTAAAAAAGACGTTTTAATTATATCAACATAGATTTTATATTGTTTTTCTTGGAATATATTTTCATTGATGTGCATACTACATGCATACACGTTCACTTAACAAATAGAAAAGAACTAATAATAATTAAAGACCTAACAAATATTAAAATACCAAATCGGAATAGTATAACACTAACATTAATACAATCCTCTGACTATTATTATTAGTTAGTGGAGTAATTTCATTAGGAGTGCACTCCATCGGTTCAACGAAACGAGTATCGTTCATCGAATCAATAAGCATAGGCATCTTCTTTTTAGGAGAAAAAAGTATTAACTGATGATAGTCGATCATAATCAACTCCTAAATAAACAGTATTAGCTATTTTACTAGGCTTATTTAAAATCAATCTCAAAAAGAAAATGATTAGTTCATGAATTTGATTTATCTGATACTTAGGTTTTGTGAATTGGTCTACCTATATTAGAGTCTATACACTTCATCCATTACTATTAGAAACAGAATTATATTTACTATATATAACAAAGCAATCCTCTGAATGCATGTTTGCCAACTAATCAAATATTATATACCTTCTTGATTAAAAACTAAATACTTATTCTCAAGACTGAATAATTTATTGGTTTGAAAACACCAATGATCTATTGAATACACTGGTAAAAACAATGATACAATAAAATTCATGAAAACAACACCAACGAATAAATTCACCTGCTTTATTCCATCAACAAAACGATTTATCACATTGTGTTGATCTTTAACATTTACACCAAGGCTCATTAACATTTTAGGAAGAATTATTTGAACACCGACAAGTGTTTCAATTGCATTTGTTCTATCTAAACAGTCTACACAATTTATTCTAAGCTAGAAAAACAAAACAGATTAAACAATATAAAGAAACCTCAGTTTTCTATTTAAAAACAAAATTTATACTAAATAAGTATATATAAAAAATGATTAACGGAAGGAATTAAAATAACAGTAATTAAGACGATAAAATTGTGTACCAGAATGAAGTTCATCATCATGAAAGACTGTAAAGTGTAAAAATAAATGAAACTACTTAGAAATTCAACTCAATATCCGCAAATAAAATATTGTTAAGACTATTATGTGTTTAAAAAAGATTTCATATTTATATTTGATACTAAGCTTCTACAAAGCCAAATGAAGTTGTAGTGCACTTCCACTATAAAAACTACCTAGTGATTATGTATGAATTTTTAAGTATTAAAGTATTGTGGACAATTTTACACTCTAGATTATTTACATTAAATATATGGATATTATGAAATTGTACAGAGATCATAGAAAACAAGTATTGTTTAGAGAAAAACGTAGAGTTACTTGTTATTTTTATAACATCTTGTAAATGTAATCAATGTTTAGCAATACATTTTTATGAAGTGAATGTTGATCTCAATTTTAATACAGTATAACAATTACCTGGTACTCAAGAAAAACTTTGAACACAGAGTAATGATAATGTTAACCAATGAGATACGTAACAAGAAGTCCACATAGTATGCTAAAATTTTTATACAAGCAAGCATCCAGGAAAGCATGTCACTTCTGTATTCATCATAAGTAACAATTTCTGACAATAATATGACTTGTTTGCTGTCATAGTCATGTTGAACAATGTGTGTAGATAATAGTTTTAGCTTCAGTACACAGTGAAACACTAAAAACACTGAACTTTATTAAGTGATAATAATATTATTATTATTCGCAATAACTTATTATGAGGTCTCTGAAATCAAGTATAAAACAACAGTAAAATTATCTGGAATCCTATCCAAAATTGAACTGTGTTAAGTTAGGAACACCGAATGTAGCAAGTATATATGTCCTGTATAGTTGCAGAACTAGCTAGCAAGTTGAAACATCCGTTAAGTGACCTTAAATAAAGAAAACGAGCAAGAACTGCAAAAATTGGTCGTTTGCACGATGAGAAACGTATAGCATTAAGACACCATACAACGAAATGTACAAATAAAATTTCGTATACTATGATTAGTGAACAATTACATAAGCATTTTAAATTTGCAACGCTATATATTCAGTAACTTAAACAGCGACTCCATACTATCAAGTTGCTAAAAATGAAGCATACTATCGTGCTAAAACTCCACTCAATTTCATTCATACAAAAAGCCAGTAGAGTAAGTGATTAAAGCATTCAGTTCTCATCTAATGAGTTACAAGTTCGAACCCAGCTTCCTCAACTTTAGCTTGCACTGAGAAGTATCAAAAGCCTTTCCTGAAAAAAGTTATGGCCTAAAGCTTAGTACATAAACTTATGCTTGAAAAATGAGTTAGAACAAATACTCACACATTTCAGACTTTTAAATCAGTCGAATAACTGATAGACTTATTCTTATATTTATCAATAATTCAGCTAACATTATATAAGAAAGTATATTCAAATAATTTATTGGAACCATGTAACACTAATGTTCAATTTTTTATACACTGTTTTCATTAGTACAAGTTATTGTAAGTGCCATTATTCCAACGATAAAAAAATTCATATATGCGAATAAGGTAGGCATATAACAATTATGTTAAATAAGTTGTCTCTTTATTTTACTGTAGACGAACTTGTTTTCTTCTACGTCAGTCTGGAATGATTAACACGTAACACATCGTTCCTGAACATCAAATACGATAAAGAATAAGGAAACATAAATTTCAAAAACGTTTTTGCGTCACCGGATTATCATCATTTTACTGAGCTAACTAAAATGTATTTAAATACATTGTTAAAAAAGAAAACAATTAGAACTGCGGAGCCATCAGTGAAATATTGTGAACTAACAGACTTACTGGAGTTGTAATCATTGGGTAGGAGATTGAATCGGCGTCAATCTACCAGTTCCGATATGTGGTTATTACGTAATATTATACCTTACAAATAAACTTAGTTACTGAGTTTGATTATCAATCGAAGTATTGTTAGTAATTTAAGCTTATGTTATCAACACTGAACAATCACTATTACATGTGCGAATGTAAACTGAGTGATGCACAAAGTTTTATTCTAAAAGGCTCATAGCACGATGGAGAGTGAAAAAAGTCTAAACAAAAATTGATTAAGATATTATTCGACGATCACAAGTAACGATCGCAATACACAACAGCTGACAGCTACTGAATGTTATCATACAGATTTATCGAAACACGTGATGGTACGTTGATTGAAACACTGTGAACAGTTTTACAAGATCACAATTCAATCCACCTAATTACCACAAAACCTAAAAATGGATGAGATGTTTGTGACAATGAGAAAACTGTAAAAGCTAAAAGTTTGTTTTAAACGTTGTATTACGGAAAAATTACGTATTCGAGTCGTAATATGATGACAGCTTACACATGACACTAGTGCACAGTTTGATTATGAAAAGGATCCCGAACAAGATTAAGCTGCTTAAGTTTCCATAGTTGGATTCATGCAGTATTAAGAGTACTCATGAGAAGTTGTTATCTGAGGTAACATCAGCAGATGGTGTCCGTTAGAAGGATACAACGCTACTATTCTTGTCCACAAGTTACAGATTTACTAATGATGAATAAATATAATATTATCGATAGTAATAGATACAGTCGGATAGAAAAAATAATCAAGAATTCATCTAATCCCTATTATTAGGTTCAGCTTATAAAATTAAGTCAGAGACCCTTGATAATGAAAGGTACCTAATAGAAATTGTTATCTATGAACAATATGGTTTGTACGATCCATCAACAAAGTTCAAATTTATGTAACCGGCTTGAAAATACACTTTTAAGTGAGCACTAGTGATACTAACCAACTGTTTAGACCGAAATATGAAAGGCCGGAGTCAAACTTATAACGGTTGATTACGTGCTTTATGTAATGCATTACTATTCATGTAACAACCCCGATACTCACTTATATGTAAAATAACAGAGGGAAATTTTCCAAAAACAATAAAATTAATGGGTCTAAAAGTATTACAATCAGCCAAAATATTTATATTATATACAGTATTGAAAACAGAACCATGTAGAGATCATCATATAAAACAAATAACACTAAGAAAGGTAGTCCAATCTGTGTTAACTGAAACACATACAATCAGTAGAGATAAATAGTTAAATGTTCATCGGAAATTATGTTTACATTGAAAAACAATAATTCAGGTATAAAATAAAACAGGTCCGTAGACATTGGTTGGTTATGTTTTGAAATCTATATTATAGTGGTTCAATACAAAAATCGAGAAAAAAACAACCAAATTCCAATGTACCCTAAATTAAGTATAATTTCGACAAGGACGTTTGACTTATTGACTGGAATGATACAGATGGTACAATAGTATAGCGATTTTAAATTGCTACTTCTCCAAACAAAACACAGAGACAAGACCAAGAACAGAATGATGTTTTAAGTTACTCCAGAAAGCTATAAGTACACAAAATGTTTGAAAATTCAAACGGAAAAATCAGTTATTAATCCTAAAGTTGTTTTCGGCCACATATTTCACATTATCCCATGAAATTATTCATAGTGCGTCAAGCTCACTATTTTTTTAATCTCCATATCAAATTCAGGGAGATAGAAAATTAATATAATCAAGACGTAGTAACTTATAGTGTGAAAAAATCCTTACATGAAGTCGATCTATCAACAAAGGTTGGTCAGATAATTCCTGTAAAATCTAAGAACAGAAAATTATAAGTAAAGGCTTGTAATTACAGACAATATTGATAGATCCGCCCAAGATGTTCATATCCAAACAGAAACTAACCATATTTTTCAGTCAGATGATAAATTGCAGTTCTGAATATCAACAGTAGGAAAAATATAAATCCTTATTAAGAACTTTATATGCGTTGAATAAATTAGTGTCTAGATGAATTCACTACTTTAGTAGATAGTGTTAGTTTTTTGAGGTAACAGGCACTGAACCTAAGTTCCTAAGTAAATATAAACTATGGAATCCCAGCACATCTAGGTGACGAGCCTCAGGATAATTCTGTTTTCATCGTTACTTCAGTGGGAAAGCTCAGTACATATAACATACCAGGTTGCGCAACACAAAGTGTAGAGCAGAGTGATAATGGTATACGAAGAAATGAAGAGTAAAATCAAATTTAACTATATTAATTAAAATTATCTTTAGTTTGATAGGTAATACATTATATGGTTATATTAAAAATTCATGTGTAAGTATACTGCATGTTCATTCTTTTACAATTAAAAATACATTGATGTGGTGTCACTTTAATTATGCTAACCGAACAATTTATTTGCTATTAATTTTACATTTACGTTCACACCAGTACACATAGCTATGAGTTATACTTTATGTAACAAAGCCAGTGATACTACTTTCCTGTCTAAATATAAATAAATAGAACTGAATTTAAATCTGCACATTAGTGATTATAATTAAAGTACTATTGTAGTGAACAAGAACACGAGTGGGGACAATCGAATGTATTTGACACTAAATACAGAGCATCTCGCTAAAATCTGAGAACCATATAGTAAATAGTTAGTTTGCAAAATATTAATCCATCGTCTCAAACTTCACTGTTCCTTTTGCAAATATCAGTCCATTGTCTCAGATTTCATTGCACATACATTTTCATACCACCTGCGTACCGTTGCCGTTCTTTTCTTATCGAGCTTCTGCTGAATTACATTCTATACCTGACCACCGTTATATACTACTTGTGTGGATATAAGTAACCCACACCACACTCGTCCCCCCTTTAAAGCATCCTTTCTTGCGGTGATTCTGCTCGTCGTGCCACTTTCTTCTCTCCGTCAAAATGTCGAGTCTGCGTCATGCTGACCTCCATAGCTCCGTCGACCTGCCGGGGCATCAACATCCGACGCCTGCGCTCCTGCGGCCTGCTGAGCCATCTACATTCGATGTCCGCTCAACATCCTCACGTCCCACCGCTTGTGTGGATATCAGTAACACACACCACACTATGGCCGTTAAGCCATTACTCCACGATTGTGTCAATCGTATGGTTAATTAAGGATGTTGTCACACAAGATCGAGCCCAAAACTTTTATTATTCCGTTACTATCTAGGAAGCAAAAATATGATTTATAAGGTTCATGCAAAGAAGTCAATAATTAATATACAAAAGGCTGGAATACTTACCACTCCAGTTTGACATAATTCTACCTGTTGACCATTTGCATAGAAATATCCCCAATCATCAATTAACCGACTGATCTGTTGATTTATCCATTCTAAACTTTTTGCACCTTTCGATTGTAATTCCGAATGATAATCAAATATAATATGGTGGATAGTATTCTTTTTTTAACAATGAGGTACACCAAACAAGTGACATTGAAAAAAGAACAAATGAAAGGAAGTAATGTAGAAAAAACTCTATAAACGTACATTAATTTATATGCATTATGGTATGAAAATTCATCTCATTATAATCAATGCCCCGTTTTATTCATTTTTAACCACAGTGGTGCAATTAGGATGTAACGAAATATCTATGATTGATTAATGACGTGACAAAAACTTAGATTAAGTAAAAAAAAAGTAGATAAAAACAAGACAATCTATGGCAAAAACAGCATTAAATTTATTACTAAACAAATGATATTGATGATGGAATCAATACACACCGAGTAGTTTGAAAAATTTAGTCCCTATATCCCTCTGTTTATATTAAAATAAACCGATAAACAAAATGACTGATACGATTAAGGATATTGTTACAAACTGTAGTCAACAACTCCCAAATATAAATTCTCTGACGATAAAAATTGTTGGATAAGTCATGTATGATTGTTTATCATTATTATAATGTCTGTCAATTGTTAGTCAAAACAAAAAGTGTAGATCCTTCTAAAAAAAGATTGGTAATATCATATTATTGGATAGGAGATTCTAAACAAGCTCCACTTAAAATCCGACTATATTTGAATAATGGTCAGTAATGAAATCCAGAATGCATGTTTTCTGATATTTAGAACTGTTCAGCAGAATGTAATCTTCAAAACAGATCAAACTCAGTCTTGAATATTACCAATCCTTTACAAATAACAATCAATAACTATTTAGTTTTTTTTACTTTAAACTGTTATTAACTCAATTTAAACTAGTAATCAGGAAATTTCTGTATTAATCCATTCATTATAAATAAAATATTTATAAAGAAAGTATGAACTATCATGAAACAAAACTTACTCGAAAAGACGATTTTCTATGTTGTTCCTGATAGGCTTTACTAAGCATTGCTTCGCCTTGTTTACAACCTAACAAATTAACAACACCAACTGATCCATATTGTGATATTAAATTCATAAAATGACGTTCGAATGCACTCATTGATATTTCTAACGGTCGACTAAGTGAAATTTTATGTGAACCAACTTGTAATCCTGGTTGCTCCCAAAATAATGGAACTGTACCACGAACTTGAATATAACTACTAACTGAGTCACCTAAATAGATAAACTATCCAAATATTTTTCCAAAAAAATTTGAAAAAAAAAACAAAGAGAGATATGGTGATGAAATTATGTATGAAAAACTAATGAAGTTTGATTTAAACTTACAATCTAGGAAGAGGAATTTGAGAAAAATGAATAGATAACTTCTTCGTATTAACGAATGATATTTTAACCAATAAAACGATGTAACAAATGTAAAGTACAAGTAAGCTAATGTTGTAAATAAATTATTATATTTGTAAAATCCCAATGAGTAGAAAAATAAGATTTTCTGACGTTTCATGACCCAGTGTAAGCCACTTCATCAGAGAAGATATAATAAAGTTTTTACTCATTCTCTGAAGAAGTGGCTTACACGGAGTCAAGAAACGTCAGAGATTTCAATATTTCTACTCATTGGGATTTTACAAATATATTAATTTACTTATAACAATCTACCCAATGCTCAATATATTTGAAATTATCAAGTTAAACCTTGGTAATGATACCGTTAGCCAGTATGTTGTTTAAAAAGATAAAAACACGATATCACTTTCGCCATTTACTACTTATTAATTTTAAGTCATGAAAAAAATAGACAGATTATGAACATTATAAGAAAACTAGTGACAAACAAACAACCACAACAATCCTCTGGTATTTATTTACTAACGGACGTTAATTTGAATTTTATACGAACTAGGTGGCTTGATTGTATATTCCTTACTCATTTGTTAACAAAAATTAACTTTCATTTTACCTCTTTATCGATAGTTATTATATCATTCCCTTCCTTTGTATGAATTCATTTTCAACACATAAATATTCATCAATCTTAACTAGTTTGTTAAATGATTTGTATCTTCTTCCTGTTTTATATGTATTTCTGTGCTATTTTGTAAGATTAGTCATCGCTGATTAAAATGTGCAAAACTTTGTATACAATTATAAGAGTTGATAAGAGGCCTCAAAATATAACGAATTCACTTTATTCTGCGAATCTTGTTCATACTTTTAAATTTTATCAGTAGATCAAGCTGAATGAAATAAATTGTTGTTTGACTAAATTTACTAAAATGTTTAAAAAGAGTAAAACAATAATAATCAGGATAACAGTAAGTTACAACCGTTTTCAACGAAACAAAAATAGAAGCTAATAGACGGATCAAGTGACATAAAGTAATATTTTGCTTATCTCGTAGAAAACCAAAAATGTAGGTGCAAATGTAATATAAGAACGAGTCTGTACACATGATATCTAAATCATCGATAATCGACTATTATCATAGTATAGACACCAACTAGACAGCCCATAGATATGCTCAAGAATTAAAGCTAATATTCACTAAATTCATGAGCTGGGACATTATGACATTTTCACATAATTTTGTTCTCATCACCATTGTACATCAAAAGAAAACAGTAATCTAACACGAATGATATCCTAGCCACAAAGTGATAAACGTACGTTCCTTATGTATACCCCTATCCTTAACTTCAATATTCTTCAGTTATTTGGTTATGCTCTAGTGATCACATGCACGATATTCGTACGAAGGAAATATGGAATAGTTGATATTTCTTCATAAAACTTTCTGCATAGCTACCACAATATTTCAGGAAAAAAACGATGATAAACAAGAGATCTAGTGAAAGATGGATATGTCACATGTTCAATAAGTTATCGTACATTATTATATAACAACACCAACAGCATAACTGATATGTTAAGGGGACATTTGGCCTAATGTCATATTTAACTTTCATTAGAATCTGAGTAACCTACAAAATCAATATTTCCTGATCGCTTATATTTCAAATGTTTTTAATAAAGAAATAACCCATTATTCCGGTCTTATCTTTGATCTCAATTCATTCTAGAGTTTGAGTTATCCTGGTATTGTAAACAGTTATCAATCGACCATGTCATCGCAACCAGCATTCTATAAATTTATTTTGACAGTCTTGCAACCGTTTATTAAAGCATAATTCGTAAAAATAATAGAACAATTCCTTGGTTAATGTTAGCGGGACATAGACTAGATTAAAACATGCTCAATGCATGATTGCTTTGGTGCACGCTGATTGGCTAATTCTTATCCAATCAGCACTAGTCGATAGTTGGAGAATACTCTGGAATCTTCTTATGTAAAAACTATAAATATACTGACGTTTTCCCTATTGTGCTTCTGGCTTGCATCTTGCTTCCATCTAACCTTGTTATTTGGAATATAATCTCTTTCCTGTTCAACCGTGTTCTGATTTGGAGTCTTGTCGAGTGAATCGGTGTCCAAGAATACTAAGCAATAGGAATAGCTGGGTCATAACCGTAAGAAAGAGAGTTATAACAGTTAATGAAACATTTGTGTGGAGTTTCAGTGCTTATCATACGTAAAATTGATCTTGGATGGACACTGAAAAATTACCCACCTGTTCTGTTTCAACAAAGTTAGCAACATCGCCACAATCATTTATCCCGCGTACATGAAAACGTGTACCAGGTCTCTGAGCTGACACTCTTGATACGACACCAACTCGAGCTTGACCAGCGCTGCAATAGACTGTACAAACCTCGAATCCACCACATATTATGGATACCAACCAATCACTAGGATTGATTCCAGCTCGTATCAAAGGTCCCATCAACCCTTTGTTCCACAGAAAATTTAGTCCAGTATCACCCCGAGTGTATATATCACTGGAAGTCAACATTTCATCACCCAAACGACTTCGATTTTGAATGTTAACAGTTAAATCGAATGGTTTCCCATCAATATTGGATCGGGCAAAGTAAAACATTCCCGATGACAGCAGTTTTCGGAGCTGTAAACAAAAATGATACCTAACAATTTAGAATTTTACCGAGAAGTATAAGGACTTTCAGAAAAAATTAATTGTATCAAAGGTGGGCAAATCAGTTATTAGATGACAATTAATGTTGTAGCTAACAGTGACTTCAAGTGGTATAAAACACTAAACTATAGCTTATTAGTTGAAAACAATGGACATCGCTGATATAGTTTGCTGATGAATACCAATAAGGACTTTTAGTAACAGGACCTCAAGCAGTTAACACAGAATAGAAATGGCTAACTGACCAAAAATAAACAGTAAAACAATTGTGGGTTGATCCACTCCTGATGAAAGAACTACAGAAAATTTTATATGAAAATGAAACGCTGTTCAGTATTTAACGACGCAAACTTGATAACTGATCACCTACAGCTGCTCATTTGTTTAGTGCAACGTTACAATATGCAAATAAGTACTGAAATTTACAATATGCTGTATCGAACATTGAAAAATATCAAAGACTGTTGCAAAATATAAAAGAAATTAAGTGAACACTAAATCCAAGGGTTTTTCTGAAATTTAACCATCAATGTTTTTAACTACATTTAAGTGGGCTGCCGAAGTTATAGGATAGTAAGGGGACCTGTTGTTTCATGTGGAAAAACGAGATCACTTTAACGGTTGCTAAGATTCAATAAGCCAGGATTGATATTTAAGAATGATATTATGCTAGTTGTACACCAACAAGAATCCGAAATGAATTCTAGAGAATCAATTGCGTTTAAACAGTAATTATCCATTGCCAAAAAGTCCACCACGTGAAATATTGGAACGTCGAGACGGAGATAGTCAGTCAGTCAGTAACAACGCAGAACTTCGTACGCATGTACATCAGTTCGAGTTGCCACACCACATTAGCATAGAGATGCAGTGGTCGATTCAAATCCCGTAGTGGTAGAGGTAATAAGAGTATAAGCAGTAATCAGGAAGATTAGTTTTGGAGATGTTACTTAAAGAGTATAATACAGTGAAATAAATTTGGGAAGAGAAAGAAGAGACAAAGAGGAATCAGGAGATTAGAATTTGGAAGAACACAAAGAGTGTATGCACCTGCGCCATTGCAAACGATTTCGAGCCATGTCATTCAGGGTCTCTAACCATCGGTTGCTATCATCTCGCGGTCCCCAACCAGGTAGTCTACACCTACCGACATGACTCAGTTCACTTGTCAGTGACTTCATGGACTTGTGCCATGTTTTGGTCTGGCCGCCCCTAGCTTTTTTCCAACCTACTCCACTCATATACCACTGAACATCGCACGTCGAGGCAGTCGGTCATTGGGCATACGTAACACATGTCCAAGCCATCTCAACTGATGAAGTTTCACTACGTCATCAATGGATTTGCCATCCTTACCTAGTGCCCGTTTCCTAACAACTGTGTTACTTACTCGATGGTCCCATGATATACGAGCAATGCTTCGAAGACACCTATGATCAAATACTAGTAACCTACGAATATCCTCTACTCTTACTGATCATGTTTCACTGCCATAAATTAGGACGAAACGAACTGCTGCGCAGTAAATCCGTCCTTTGGTTGATAGACGGATATCTCGCCTACGCCATAAATGACGCAAGTTGGTAAAACCTAGTCGAGCCTTCTGTATCCGTGCTGAGATTTCGTCACACACCAGACCACAAGGGCTGATCAGACTTCCAAGATAAGTGAAGCGATCGACACGCTCAATTACTTCACTCCCTATCATTAGTTCGGGTGTCAATGCAAATCAATCCTGAAGCAACATTTTGCATTTCTAGGGGGAGAATCGCATGTCGAACATGCTTGCATTGTTGCTTAGAGTGATCAGAAGACTCTGCATTTTGTCAGCGTCTTCACCAAATAGAACTATGTCATCAGCATATTCTAAGTCAACAAGTGAACCTCCCGGTGGAAGTTCAACCCCTGTATATTTAGATGAGGAAAGTGTTATCTCTAAAAGTACGTCGACGACAAAGTTGAACAAGGATGGAGAGAGTGGACAGCCCTGACGAACACCACTTGAGGTAATCAATTCTGATGACAGTTTGCCATAAGCTCTCACTCTACCAGTTGTGTTCGAGTAGAGAGCCTTTACAAGGTTAATGTACTTCTTTGGTACTCCTTTCAGTGACAAACACTGCCATAGAACCTTACGATCAACAGAGTTGAATGCCGCCTTAAGGTCGAGAAATACCACGATTGTGGGGCGTCTGAACGTATGTCTGTGTTCTAGAACCTGACCTAATGTGAATATGTGGCCTATACAACCACGTCCAGGTCGAAAACCAGCCTGGTTTTCTCTAGTCTGCTCTTCACGAACTTTAGTTAGGCGTCGAAGTATTATTGAGGCTAATATTTTAGACACTATATTTGTCAAACTGATTCCTCTGTGATTGTCACAAGAGGACTTTTGTCCTTTCTTATAGACTGGCACAATCAGTGATTGAGACCAGTCAGATGGGATTACGTCCAGTTCCCAAATTCTACCTAAGACCTCGGTTAATCTCATTGCTAATACTGGACCACCATCCTTAAACATCTCAGGAGTAAACCTGTCAGGGCCTGCTGCTCTCCCTCGCTTCAGATTTCCTATGGCTTTTTCAACTTCGTAAAGAGACGGAGGACCTACATTAACTTGCCATTCAGGTTGACTGGAGATCGTGGGAAACCGAAGTGTGGCTGAAGGCCAGTTGAACTGATCCCTAAAGTGTTCTGCCCATCGATCCAATCTCCTGGATTGAGAATGTATAATATGTCCATCTTTCTCTGAGATTGTTTCGCTAACAGTCGGTTTCTTTATACCGGTTTCCTTAACAAGTCTGAACAATTGTCTGCTATTACCTATTGCCACTGCCTTTTCCATCTCTCTTGCTTTCCCTACCCACCACTGTTCACCATCATTGCGTAGACTTCTTGTCAGCTTGCGCTTAAGCTGACTCCGCTCTTCATTATGTTCAGAGCCAGGTGGAATGAGTTTCCGAGCATCTATTAGTGCGATAGATGCTGCTGAGATCCAGTGTTGCTCCCTAACCTTACGGGTTACCGTACTAGCAGATATCACTGCTGTTTCCACAGCTTTTCCGATAACATTCCAGGCTGCATCGGGGTGGGCATCACATACATGGCTGCCTAACTGTTTTCCTAGTTGCTCCTGAAATATACTCTTAGCTTGACTATCATTAAGTAGGGCCCTAAGAGGTTTACTTGCAGCGTCTTTCCTACGTCCAGTAAGACGCAGACAGATACGCGCTCGTACTACAGCATGATCTGAATCTAAGCATGTGCTCCAGAATGAGCGACAGTCTTCTACCGAGCCCCTCCATCGGTGGCTGATAGCGATGTGATCTATTTGGGTGCAACATTGGGATGAATCAGGGGGTCACCATGTTAAAAGATGTTTTTCCTTATGCTTAAAGTTAGTATTTGCAAGAAAGAGGCGGTTATCTGAGCATAGCTGCAACAGACGGTCGCCATTATTTGTTCTTTGAGCCACGATGCTATAAGATCCACCCAGGTGTCTTTCCCTTTCGCTTAGTTTACCTACTTGAACATTAAAGTCACCGGCCACTTTTACTACGTCCGAGCGCTTAGCTTTTAGGAGGAAGTCGGAGAGCTTTCTGTAAAACTCATCTTTTACATCATCTGAGCTGCAGTCAGTGGGAGAATAGGCAGAGGCGACGACGAGTGTCGCTATCTTTTCGGATCCTTACTGTTCCGTTCAGTCGGACAGCGCGCAAACGACTGTCTACTGGGATCCACTCTAAAAGACCTAGTTCTGCCCTAGAACGACGAACTAATGATATCCTTCGACGTGACAGCACTATTAACCTCAATTGAACCAAAATTAGCAAAAGAAACTATATCCCTGCTGCTCAACAACGACACAAACCTCACCAAATACACGAAGCTTCAAATTCAAAGTCTACAGGAACTCATCAATTTATGCCTAACAACATACTTTCAATTCAACAACAAAATCTACGAACAAACGAAAGGGACACCAATGGGATCACCAATATCAGGATTGATCGCAGAGGCAGTGATGCAAAGACTAGAAGCCGCGATATTACCAGTGATCAAACCAAAAATTTGGATTCGCTATGTAGACGACACCTTCGTCATCGTCAAAAAGAATGAACTAGAAAACACTTACAACCTGATCAACAACGTCTTCGATGACATCAAGTTCACCATGGAACAGGAGTCAAACAACCAACTAGCATTCTTGGATGTATTGATCACTAGGACCGACACAGGAAAACCGGAAACTCAGGTATATAGGAAACCGACCCATACGGATCAAATTCTCAACTACAATAGCAACAACCCCAGAGCTCACAAAATCAACTGCGTATACAATTTGTTCAAGAGGGCGAGGACACACTGCAGCACACTGGCAGCACGAAGAAATGAAGAGAAATATCTAAAGGATGTATTTCAGAAGAACGGCTACCCCATCAACTTCATCAAAAAATACCAACCGCACGCAGCATTAGAACTCAAGTCAAGCACAAAAATCAACAAAAGGATCACCCTATCATATATACAAGGAATATCAGAAACAGCGACGAGACTGCTGAAAACCTTCGGAATAGGTGTGGCACACAAACCGACAAAATCACTACAATCAATCTTATGCAAACCAAAAGATGAAATAACAAAGGAAAACAAATCAAACATCATCTACAAAATAAATTGTGCCAACTGCGAAAAACACTACATCGGACAAAGCGGACGCCCCCTTCACCTTCGCCTACATGAACATCAATTAGGAGTCAAACGGCATGATATCTCTTCACTTATATCAATACACGTCGACAACTGCGGACACTCATTCGATTGGAAAAATGTGGAAATCTTAGACAGAGGAAACTCCAAAAACACCAGAGAATTTCTAGAAGCCTGGCACTCAGGTCAATTAGCAATCAACAAGCATATTGAAATCAATCCAATTTATCAACCAATCAGAAAAATCATGCACAAACATAAGAACAAAAATCAAAACAATGGGAGACACAACCAAAACAAAGAAGTAAACAACGACAAATTTAAGGTCAATAAGAACCAATCAACGTCGAGGTGCACAGAACAAGCTTTGAGACACATATGGAGAAATTCAAACACTTCACTTCTATCTGAAGTTTGTGCTGATGATGTCGTTCAGAAGAACGATGAAAGCGCCACGACCAAACCATCCAGCTCAGAGAACAAAACTCCACCAAAATCATCCACCTGACCTACAAATCTTCTCCATCATCTCAAACTCAATGCTATACCTACGCCGGCGAGGCCACGGGAAGCAGAATCAGGGCTTCCAGATACACGAAGTGTGAATCGAGTCGTTTCTTTATTTTGGCATAGTGAGGTCGAGTGAATGACGCTACTTGGATCCTGTATGCGCGTTTCGGAGACGCAGCACACATCGATGGCGCGGGATTCTAAAGTCCTAGCTAAGGAAGCCTGTTGTCCTATTTGGCACAGTGTTCGGACGTTAAAAGCTCCTACGTGTAGTTTAGAGCGTGGTTTCAGGAGACCAGGAATAGCGTTCCGCGTACTCGAATCGTTTGCCCTAGCAGTGCGAGATGATAAAGAGACGTGAGGAGGGTTAGTCATGGAAATAAGAGAGGTATTAGGAGGTGTAGGAAGGATTTGAATGTGACCAACTTGGTCTCGTGTGGTGTTACGTGTATGGGGGCTGGTGTCACTTCCCGGCTACCCACACCGTGGAAGAGTATTTCTTGAGGACCCTGAAAAGGAAATTAGATTAGTGTTGGTCTTGACGACCTGGGAGCGTGACCGCAGAGCCCAAGGGACAACTGCTTGAGGCCGGTCGTGTACGGCCTTTTCGTGGAAGGTTTTTAATGTGTTAGCTCCGTTCTTCAAAGGGCCTTACCGCCGGAGACGGAAATCCGTGAGGTAAGGTGGGGTGTGACATTTTTAGGGTCGACCTTTTCTAACCCCACCCCTCCTTGTGGGAAGGCAGCATCGCTGCAGATGCTGGTTGTCCGAGGTAAACACCTTACCGCTGTCACACCCCTCTACAGTCAGCAGTACGACTTCGCCCTCAGACCTTGAGTTGCTGCTTTTAGTCTTACCGTTCTCCAATCGACCTGCCTGGCATGGTAGAACCTACAGGAACATATGTTCCAGCCAATATAGCTCGGTTGGGTCATCACGATTGGCAAGCCCGACCACCGCGTCAAGGTAGCAGCTTCGGTCGGTCGGAGATAAACAAAGATTGCAGAAATAGAGACACAGATTAATGTATATAGTCAGCTTACTTCAAATTAAAAATCAACACACTGATAGTATATCAACAGCAAACTAGTTGTACATAGAAAACAGTAAAATGATTTCATTTAATAATGTCACCTAGAAATATAAATACCAAATCCAAAATCACAATAAAATTAGCAATAAACGTAGCTAGGAATATAAACCACGAATTGGGGTGGTGATTTACATACATGCATATTTCCAATGCTTCATGTGAGCACAACGGATTATTGAGTGCTTGTATGAATGTTGGTGCGCAAAATACAAACAGTCTGAGAATACAAAAAATCTAAAGTTGAGAGGATTGGAACTTTAATTCCGTCTTACTCTCAATAGAATAAAGATTACTATTAAATGACATCAAATAACATGTTTTAGAAATAAGAAATTGTGTGTAGAGACGTGCGTCGATTTATATAAACAATATTACCATGATTCAAGTGTCGGTGAGACTAATTCATGGACGTTTGAGCAATGCTTAAGTGGCCCTGGGGATGTCCACCTACTTACAAGGGTTATATGGGGTTTATAAACTAATGTGAAGAACTAAGGCTAGGATTTGCAGATGGACAGTAGGGTTAAAAATTAGAGTCCAGGTTTACAACAGGAACTGACACTAGATATAATCGCAAAACGCTATCTAGCCATGTTGATGAGTAATCAAGCTCCGAAGTCTAAGGCCAGATATCTTAAATCCGATTGTTTCGTCCACAAATTATAGTCTTGTTAAAAATAATCCTATAGGTTTGTCCATTTTTACCACAAAAAGGTAAATTCAAACGTTATATCAAAACTCCGATCATTTGGTTATCCAGTACTGAAGACAGACCATTCTCATGTTCCATTCTCTGCACATCAAAAGACACAATAGCAAAGGCAGACAAATTCAAAGCCAATTACAAAATAAATTTCACCAACTATGAAAAAATATTATATTGTACAATGTAGGTGCCCATCTTTACTTGTGCATAAATGAACATAGATACGCAATGAGATGAAATGATGTGGTGTCAGTGATATCAGTGCATCCAGATAAACATGAACACGAATTGGATTGGAGAAGCGTAAAAAGTTAAGATTGAGGAAAATCCAAGAATGTCAGAGAAATCAAAAGACACATCGACATAGATCAAATCTACGAGCCAAAAAAGGAAGAGGTTAATCAATCATGTGGAGCAACCACACAGGTACTAAGCACCCTGGTGGACCATTCGCATCATTCATATGCACATTCACGTCACACGTATAGTTATTCCGATCAATGATCGCGTGAATCAATTATGCACAGCACGAACAGGTCAAAATTGACCTATTCCGCTTACATGACAGTCGAACTGATTATTGTTAGCAATGGCGACATGCCTTACAATGTCCCAATGACAATGGCCCTCGGGAACAATGAAAAGCAACCACCAGTATGAATGAAATCGGTTAACCAGAAAACCGATTTTTTGCATGAACAGTCAGCAAAACTTGCCAAAGCAATGCCAAACCATCCACAATAACAATGGCGAACCTCCAGCCTATATAGTACCAGAAGTCAATGGTTCCTCGGTCCTATGATTTCTATTTAAAACTCTTCAGTCTCACATCTAATTTGGAATATGAGATCCTACAACCTCGTGTTCCGATGAACGAAGTCCAAGAATAGAATAAATAATAGCAGAGATTTCTATCTTAATGACTACTTTGCCGCAAATAGGCAGGTGATCTTAAATTATCAGTATATGTATTGAACGTCAATTTTGAAGTTACTATTTGTTGTCTGTCGATTCCATTTAGAAGTGACCCCCTTGGAGGATACCTAAAATTCGACAGTAGATAATTAACTTAGCCCCAAAAGAAAGGTATGTTAGCCACTCGCTCGATAACTTATTTATTTTGTGGGTATAAACCAGAAATTCGATATAGGCAATCCTAAAAGGAATGATAATGATAAAAGCGATAACACATAATGCTCAAAAAATAAGTCGAACGAATCCGATGAGCGATTTTATGCTGTTTAGACAGCAAGTTACATTTCAGAGCCTGAACTTATACATCCCTAAAAATATTTACTATAATAAACAGAAAAATAGCATCCAGTTGGATAGATTTCCCTCCAAAAGAACGTCTCAACCAAAAATACTGAAACTAACATCAGGGTAGATGTCTTCTTCAACTCCTTGACACTTCAGATTAATGAATTGCACGTTGGTGATGCGAAAAACCTCAAAGAGCGGCAACTTGCCCACAGAAGTACATCCAGTAACCAATACAATATAAGACTGTGGCGCCATAATGCTCGAGTCTGAAGTAGGTGATATCATAGGAACTAATACGCCTAGGCATGCATACGCGTCAACAGCTTTCGTATACTGGCACTTTCGAAAGTCGAATTCATAAGTACTGATATGTGCGATAGCCCCTGAATCAAATAATAAAGCACCTCTCACAAATCGATTTTCCAATATAACATTGTACTGTTGAGGTGACTGTCCTATATCCGAGTTCGCACTCTTTAGTAAAACACGACAGTTTTTAAGAAATGACATTTTTGAGGGCCGATGACCTTGAGGAACAAACAAAACATCCGCCACAAAATGTTCAGGGTCAGGCGATAACCTTGAGGCAGCAAATCAACTCTACAAACTTGTGGCGAGAAAAATGAATGTCGAAAATCGATAAAATGAGTATTCAATCACCATCAGCAAGGAAACTGGGTTGCTTGCGCTGAATCAGAATATGAAGTATGACGAGCTTTAGAGATCCTAGAAGATGCCACTGTTACCCAATATTTGAAAATGCCAACTAAATCAGAAGTAAACAAACATGCGACACAAACATATAACTGAGCCAAAAGTTCATAAAACTCATTCTACAGAACATAAGCCGACTAGTTATCGTAAGCGATGAGCAATACAACTTTCCCAAACGTGATCTGTTAAGGACGCTTGACCGAGTTCTCTCAGATAGAAGTGTGTCCAGTGTGAATAATAATAACAAGTTATTCTTAGTTTGTTACGTTCTTACCCGTTTTAAACTATGAACTATCCTGTAATATCTTTTCTTCCGACCACTTCCTGCCTAATTTCCAATTTTCGAGTTCCATTGCTAAACCACTAAGTCCCTACTCCAAGAAATTACGGTGACTTTATTCTATAAGTTTTCTGCAATAATAAGGTCACTTTAGATGGTTCATACAATGACAGCCACTCAATTATCTAGAATCATTTGTTTGTCCTGACTCGAGCGAGTGACAAAATGGTCAACAGCACCAAACACTCTGGGATAGGTTTCCTTCGTGTTTATTCTCGATGCTTTTGGACCATTACTAGTCACTAATGGCCTTATATATGTCGTCTATTGAAGCTGATTTACAAAAATAATCCAGGCTAGTTTAACTACTTTACTGGATGATTTTTTGTACTTAACATATATATTTTTCCCAGTTGCTTTCGCCACATATTTGTAAATGTCACTAGGCTAAATGCAGGAACTTTTTATGGAAAGTTTATAACGCGCTATATTCCTTCCTGAAGTTCAATAACCAGTCTTAACTTTAGAATTATTTTTCTGGCTATGTTTATTATTTTTAAATTGTCATATACCTCAACAACCTTCATGTTAACCTGGCCCGTATATGCGTTGCATTATTTCTCCATGTCTTTTAAACTTAAAAGTCGTTTGAATAGCCTTTAACATTTTTCAATGCACCCATCATAGTCATTATTGCTAAATGTGTTTGAGTTTATAAATTGGTCTTTCACATTACTTGCCTAAAAAGACGAATATAATTACCAAATCAGGGTATTATCATACTGCACTAGTTTATTAACTCTCAGGCAATTGCTGGTCAAACAAACATAAAAAATCTAAACTCCGGAGCCTACTAATAAACTTAACACTATGTAGACAAATAATTTTAAATTGAAATTTTCAATATAATCAGGTAGCTCGGATTCGTTAACGCTAGGGATTTTCGATCATTTAAAATCACCTAAAGTAACAATACCTGTTTTCGACTGGCTAATTCTCAACCAAAACGTTAACCATTTAAAAATAATTGTTTGAGGATATCGTCTTACAGCGTTGTCATAACTTGACGATCACGTAATATGATTAATAAAATTGACAAAACTATTAAGAAAATCCGTCAACAAATTGACTTGTAATTATCACTAAAGTGTTGTTTTCTCGTTATCTTCGTTCACTGCAAATGATTACAGCATGTTTCTCCATCGGTCGCTCATTCAGCGAATATCTCGAAACGTTGTCAGTCTAATTGGGGGTTTAGCGACACATTCATGCATGCAAATCATAGACATGAGTTGAGAGTGTACTCCCCTCGGTTACAACTTATGTTCTCCCTGACAATCACATGAGCATCACCCACTGTTAATTATCTTGTAAAAACTCATTTACACGGATACATCTAGCAGCACTACATCACCTAGTAATGTGGCACACAGGCTTAACTGACTCCAATATCTTCCAATCACTATATTTCAATTAAATCGTATTCCGCCTTATGGTAAACTGCATACTTGCAACTAACTTGTATGCACCATCAGCCGGCAGGTATAAATATAAATAAATGGTCTGTGGCAACGTAGAACATTGAGTCTAGAGCATGTCTTTTACGAATACACTCATGTTTAACGACTTTTTCCTAGCTATCTGTCCAAAATTCACATAATTATTACTCACGTATTTAAATTTTGTTTTGATAACCACTCATGTGTATTAGTAGTACTACTGATGAGGTCGAGAGAATCTCCCCGTAACTAAATAAACCGTATCAAACTAACTGGAACACTAGTTGGAATTATTCTCCAAGTTAATGCTTTTCTTCTTTCAGTTAGCCTACTATAACGGATGCAATCGGAAATCAACATATATGGACAGGTTACCGGCATAATCGTTATTTGATTTCATAGTTTAAACTGAAACTAATACCAATATTAACATTTCTACAATATTGGTTGCTTTTAATATTTTAAAACACGAAACACTTACTACCTGTAAGTTAAGTTATTAACCAAAAGCTACTACTACGCATTTTACGGTGACTTATTAAAGTATCCCTATGTGGAATCATTTTATTATAATAATCCCACTTTGCTTAGCTTAAATAATCTTCACCTAAATTTCATTTTAAGCGTACTAAGCATGAAGGCAGATATCTTAAAATTATTGCATGTATTCCCCGATCAGTTGCTGCCGCCCTTCTTTTTGATTTATCTTTCAGTTCATCAATACCCAGAGAATTCTTATTATTCTCGGTAACCTCCGGTGCGCGATAATCCCACTCACTTTGGTATCGGACCAACATCATGTTGATTCTAGTGGGAGAGTAGTGTAGTGGCATGGGGCCCTAACCACATAATCCTCGAGGCTGAACACGAAACAACTGTGAAAATAGACATTCAACATTTAGCGCGCGAAAAATCCCAACGATGAAGAAGGAATTGAAACAATTTGAATTGTTCGGATGGCATGGCTAGGTCTTGCAGGCGTGGTCTTATGTAACATTATTTTTATCCATATTAAATAAACTGTTTTATCTCTAATCTAGGTGTGTTCTCCATCATATATTGATGATTGTTACAATGCAGTGAATCAGGGTAGACAATGATGTGACTTCCACGTCAGATCTTATAGATTAGGCAGTTACATCATAAAAAATCTACAATTTTAGGTATAGGTCTATTATTAGAGCAATACTGATAACGAAGAAGACCATAATTTTACGGAGTTACTAACATAATCACTCATACTGTGTCGAAGGAGCTTTGTATCTTGGAGTGTTATTCTAAGTCCACCATACTAAGATATATTGAAATTTCACTCACCGCGGTAACAGCATTACAGCTGATTCTACAGATGTATAAAACCAATATTTGAGACGCAAATGTGGCTATATAAGGATTGTATCTTAATTTTACAAAAGCCAATAATTTATCTTAGATAAAAAGCAGAAGTCCGGTAGGATCTAAATAATCGCCACAAAGCTTTTCATAAGTAAAGAAGCGACTAGTAGTGTCTAACAGGTAAGAGTTTGTTCAGACATTCAGTCAGTATTACGGCATGGCTACGTGAAGACGTCGAAGGAAATGAACCCTGACAACCCATTTGCAAACAAAATCCACAATGTTGGATTCTCTTTCGTAGGTTGCTCACGTCTTAACAATTTGCTGATTTCGTTTTTCATCCTTCTCAAATGTTTGACCATGTGTTTTAGTGAAAACAAACTTTAGTACGTTTTGGTATCGGAAAATGGAGTTGACAAGGGTCCTTCAGGCAGACATACCTTCATTTCAGCTTTGGTGTTCAAGTAGAAACTCAGACTAGGGCTGATAGTTTCATACTCTGCCCAGAGATCCTATGAAAAACTTAGTTCAGCGACTTAAATAATAGCTACCATAAATGTCAGTAGACGAAAAACAACTTCCAACTAGTGAAAGCAAAATTATTTTAGGATGAATTTGTTTATATTTGGAGTCAGCAACTCAGCGAACTGTTTGACGTCACCAAAAGAACTGAATATAGGATTCAAGCCATTTTTTGAACATCAATTCCCTTGGAGTCTTCTAAAAGAACGAGATGTGAATCAACGATTATTTGCTGACTATAAGTCAAAAACATAATGACGATGGAATAAAAAAGTACAAATCATCTAATTCCAAATCTTCTGTTTAGCATAAAAAACAACTTGCTTTTCGCTCATTCAGACGGACGTTTTTGCAAAACAAACAATTAACTGCATCGTAAATCCACTTCTTATACAAGCCGCTCCTCACACTTGATGAGCTCACAACGTACGCCATCTGTTTTAAAACCTGGTTGTCTATTTTATAGAATCCGATCAACTGTTACATGTATCACATAAACAGAAATATATTTCTGACGCCAAGATCACAGATGTCATTAACTGATGCAGTCTCTTTTAGTCTAAGACTGACGTATGTCGTATGACTTTGGATTTTAATTTGTAATGTGGTTCATCCTCCGGTACTTGGTGGATGAAGTTTCTATCCACAACTAGAGTTCCTTTAGGCAGTGCGCCCAATACATATCCATAATTGGCCGTCTGTGGATGTATTTTACGAGAAAACATTATAGCTTCTACCTGAGCGAACCGAATTCCAGGTTTATTTGCACGATATGGAGTTAAGTTTTAATCAGCTGTTGTACTAATGGTTGTTATAGTAGGTTCAGATAGTTTGGAGACATCAGGGCAATATTTTGCAGTGATTTTCTTTGTGTCCATGTCTTCAATTAGGTACATTATATGTAGAGATAACACAGTAGTAGTTGTTGTACCACAGTAGTCAATGAACAAAAATACACTGAACACGTTATTTAATTTATAAGAATGAATAAAGCAAACAATGCCTAGACAAATAATTCTGGTGGACCAATAAAAATATGAAAATAAGTCGAATCAGTTAATACTACGAAAGGTATAAAAAGAATAATAATTTAATCGAGCACAGCAACAAATCTATACAAAACGTATGGGTCAATTATTCTGTCAGAAACGTGCGTCTTCAACTGTCCAAATATATATCCACAATTGTGACTGTGTAGGATTATGATCATTTCCGGTATTAGAATCTTCGCCCTAGTTGAGATATTGATAAAACCAACGCCAAAACTGTAGATTTGTCGTGATGTGACAACTTATCTATAATATCTAGCGCGGGAGTTACGTTATTCCCTACGCTGACTTTTCCCATGGTGAAAATCAGCCACATGATGTCCAGCCTTTATGAAGAGCACGTTTGAACTAGGATGTGAGTGGCATATTGAGTACAAAAGGTATGAGGTTATAATAACCACGCCTGCATGACCGAGCCATGCAATTTCGAATGGTTATTGCCATATTCACCATTGTTGACCTTCTTTAAGTGAAAATGTTAAATGTATATCTTTTCAGTAATTACATGAACGGCGTCGAAGATCATGTGGTTAGGAAGCTGTTGTGGATGCGGAGGAATAGACCAATAATTATCATGTTAAGTCCAATGGTGTCCTTGGACTTTAAATGGACATTTCCTATTGGTCGATATTTGTTCACTTGTTGAGTATTGTACAAAATGTTGTTTTCTATTTTATGGTACGATGTGGTATGCTTGATTGGTATATAAACAAAGTATGTTTGAAATATAATGATTCATATCTCAGAGGTTGTGACTTGTGTTCTGGACTCAACAGGCTGGGCTAGACAGGGAAGTGAGACCAATCGAGACTCTAGGCCGTCCGTACGTGTTTACGTGTCACTGTAATCGATCAATAAGTACGCTGCTCTCTAATTTTCCAGTCAAGGACACAACGATTAGCACAGGGTAAAAATCGACCCCAACTTAAAGTCATAACAGAAGCACAGCCATTACAAATGCAGAAGAATGATTTAGGGAATGCCATGTATATACCGAAAGTGTTCGTGTGTAGTTGACAGACAACATTCCAAATCATGTGAGCTGCAACATGTGCAATGGGATTATTAATAAACAAATAACGAATGACACCCAAGGAAGACAGAACAAGGCTGCGGTGGACTAAAACATATCAATTCCAAAAAAACGGCGAAGTTCTTACGAAATACTGTCAGTGTGTTAATATACCAAATATAGATCATACACATAAAAAATATACTAGACGTTACTTCAGTTGTTAGTAATAGGCGTGTTCGAGTTTCTTTTGGTTTCGTTATCCACAATTATAAGTGGTCAGTAATTCCAAATTTCATTGATATGATTCGAGATGTTTATTGTGTTGAGGATATCACTGTGATCTGTAAAGGTAGACAGCAAATATATCGGAGTTCTGTTGCCGAAACAGTAGATAATTGCGAACAAGAAGCATCACTGTACTCATGAGCGATAATCAGTATGTCATGCAATGGGGTTTTCAAAAACGGAATGAAAGATCGAAGATCCTGTTTGAAATAATCTAAAAATGTCGATGGTATTTGGAGTTTGACGACGCCTTTAAACTTAACACTTTCATAACCGAAGTATGCCAATCCAGTCAAATCGGAAATCAAAAATGAAGAGGTTCGAAGATACGTTTGAAAGGCTACCGATATATCGGGAAGTGTCTGATATAAACTGACTAACGGTTGTTAGAGACGCAGACAACGGTGTATCCACCCATGATCCTGTACGGATGCGTAACCAAGTGCCTTCAGCAAGGTGACTCCAGTGAAACTAACGTGGTCAGCATCGAATGTAGAGGAGTTACAGAACTTTGAAATGGTGGAGAAGATTTGTAGCTCAGGTGGATAGTTTTGACGGAGTTTTGTTCTGTGAGCTGGATGGTTTGGTCGTGGGGCTTTCATCGTTCTTCTGAATGACATCATCAGCACAAACTTCAGGCACAATTTATTTTTTTTAAATAAATAAATAAATTGTGTCAACTGCGAAAAACACTACATCAGACAAAGCGGACGCCCCCTTCACCTTCGCCTACACGAACATCAATTAGCAGTCAGACGCCATGATGTCTTCTCACTTATATCAATACACGTCGACAACTGCGGACACTCATTCGATTGGAAAAATGTGGAAATCTTAGACAGAGGAAACTCCAAAAACACCAGAGAATTTCTAGAAGCCTGGCACTCAGGTCAATCAGCAATCAACAAGCATATTGAAATCAATCCAATTTATCAACCAATCAGAAAAATCATGCACAAACATAAGAACAAAAATCAAAACAATGGGAGACACAACCAAAACAAATAAACAATGACCAATTTAGGGTCAATAAGAACTAATCAACATCAAGGTGCAGAGAACAACCTTTGAAACATATATGGAGAAATTCGAACACTTCACTTCTATCTGAAGTTTGTGCTGATGATGTCGTTCAGAAGAACGATGAAAGCTCCACGACCAAACGATCCACCAGATTTACATAACTATTTATTTGGGGATTTGCCGCTGCATAAAAATTTACAGTCAAGAATGGTAGTTGTACAAATCATGAGAAATAATAAAAAAATACAAAACCCAATTACAAAAGTTTATTTCAACTATCCCCTAAAGGTATGTGTGAACAGGTATAGTTAATGACCTGTAATTATTAAAACATGTGAACAGTAAACATGAATGATGAAAATCAACTTTATAAATTATTTAAGCAATGCAGTGTTTGTACAGGTTGAACGGAGTTATTAAAACCTAGAAATAATCACAAAAATTAATAACAAAGTCTAGTGGTAGATGAATTTAGTCCCGATATAATTGTTGTTACAGAAACTTAGTTCACCATAGATACAGAATGTTCTCCCATCATTGCAGGCCATATCTGTATTGGAAGTGATAGTGTTTTAAGTCACAAGGGGGGAGGCATAATGTTATACGCCCACGGCTGCGGTCATCTCTTGCGGACATTATTTCAAAACCGCTCGCGACAATCTTCAACATGTCCCTTTCACTCGCCCAACTCCCTAGAGATTGGAAAGACACTATTATCAGTCCTATATTTAAGGATGGTCAGAGACAGATCGTATCTAACTACCAGCCTGTCAGTCTAACTAGCATTGCGGTTAAGTTAATTGAAAAGATAGTTCGGGTTAGGTTGCTAAGCCTCATAGATTCACACAATCTGTTAGCTACTGAGCAACATAGATTTCGTAACAAGCGTTCGTGCTTGACCAACTTACTCAGTGCGAAAGAGGATTGGATAGAAGCCTTAGATAAAGGTCTGTCTGTCGATATGGTATTCATAGATTTTAGCAAAGCATTTGACAAGATTTCACACTTAGGTCTTATGCAGAAACTCACGAGCTTCGGAATAATAGTTACTGTACAGGAGTGGATAGGAAACTTCTTATGTGATCGCAAACAGAGAGTGAAGGTCAAAGAAACGCTATCCGATTGGAAGCCGATCAAAAGTGGTGTACCCAAGGGCACCATCTTAGGCCCTCTGCTCTTCCTTCTCTACGTTAACGAGTTATATCTGTTGCTTAGGTCGTCGACATTGTCGTTTGCGGATGAAGTAAAAATCTGGAGAACAACAAAAAAAGGGCTGATCATTTGGATCTACAAGCTAACTTAGACGATTTAGTTAGATGGGCTCGAGGTTGGGGCTTAGAAATCAATTTTAGGAAAAGTGTGCTAATGTACATCGGTCACGGTAATAGTTACCATTATACTACTGATTGTAAACCTCTTCCATGCGTTCAAGAGCATAAAGACTTAGGAGTAATAATGAGTCGTGACTGGAAAACAAATACGTATTGCAACGCAGCCGCTGTCAAAGGTTTTCGTGCGTCATGGTCACTTCACCGAGCGTTCAAATCTTTTGACGAGGAAATGTTTCGAATTTTATATCCCACCTATGTAAGACCACATTTAGAGTACTGTATCTAAGTGGCTAGCCCATGTCTGGCAAGGGATACTAACTCACTTGAGCGTGTCCAGCGTGTGGGAACGAAAGTAATGAAGGGTCTTTCTAAATTCCCTTACGGTGAGCGTTTAAAACACCTTTTCCCCTTGTCGTATCGTAGGACGCGGGGTGACCTTATACTGGCATTTCGTATCTTTCACTATGATTTGGGTGTTAATATGTCTTACCTTTTTGCTTCCTCCAGCACTAATAATCTCCAACGTCATAACAAGAAGGTTCACAAACCGCGATTTAATAAACTTAAAGTGGGGTCCCATTTTTCTCAACGAGTAGTCAATGACTGGAACGCCTTACCTGAAAAAGTGGTATCGGCCCCATCAGTGAATATTTTCAAGGATAAGCTGGACCTTCACCTGAAGGCAATCTGTCAAGATTATTGCAGGTTAAACAACCTACGATCCTTATTACTGAAGACCGCAATTGGGTTTGTTTCAACCACCGCCTATAATTCAAGAGCAGAAATTCCATTGCGAGAGATGCAATGTAGATGAGAGATTCTCTTGAAACACTTATTAGGTTGAGTCAACACTGAGCTACTACATTTCATCACTATTTATAATACGTACGGTACCATATTTTATGTTTTCATAAGGACCCAAAATATCACTCTGAATTTTCAGAACCACTGTTCAATTGTTGTTTCTTGGTATACATCTACAACCCCAATAAGAAAAACTGGTGATTCATTGCTACATGGCACGGAAGTCAGTCGAACGCAAACCTCTATTCAGTTTATAAATGTTTGAAGTTATATAAATTTGAGCATTATTTTTGGCGGGAGCAAAGTCTGTGTCGTTACACTTCACTTTATTAGACAGGGGATGTAGTGTACTGCCGAACACTATTAATAAAAAGTAATCACTCGAGCTATTGTTGACGCCCTTTTAATTTTGGTTTAATTGCGTAAGATACGAAGTTTCATCATACTGTGAAAGCCATGACGTCCAACTACGTTCATGGTGGTTCAGGAATCCAGAACAGTATGCTTTCGTACACTTTGAAAAATCTGTCACTCGGGTCCAATCAACTTACTCAGGTAAACGCGAATAAATGACACTTTACCGTTATTTCTCGAAAATGTCCTCGTGACAGATGAATGATCAAACTAACTCGATGTGTATGACTCCACCGGCTACACAAATGAATTTTCTTCGTCCTATTCCTGGTGCATCTAGTGAGGCTGTCTTCCCAAGCACACATCGTCCAGCTTCTGGCCGTACGTTGGGGATAGCGGATTTCCTTTCGCTGAATACCACTTCCACTAACAGACCCTCTGTATTGTCCACTGTATCTATTTCGAAAGCATCACCCGCCCCACAAAATGGACAGTCGACGAGAGCTCCTGAAAGGGTGGCTTTAACATCAAAAGCGGTAGTCCCGGGAAACCATGGATTTGCCAGCATGTTCCGTCCCCGAGTAAGTTAATGCATCAACTATTATCACGTAAGTCTCTTTTAGCTCAATCAAAAACCATACAGAATGAAATCGTTTTATTTCGCGAAGTTACCAGCTACTTAGCACCTATGATGCTTTTAAACCAGATTTCCAGATAGAGGCTAATATATTAATACGAATGTAGTTAAAATTTAGTGTGAAGATTAAAGGTCTAAATATAATCAATTAGATTGCTTCACTATAATGAAATATATTCACATCCACTTCTAACTGAACTGTTTGTATGAGTAGAGTGATCCCCATATGTAATTCTGATTGTAATGCTTCAGTTGTAAACGGCCAACATGAACCTAGTGGATCAAAAAGAATTTACTTTGTTCTATTCAACTCAGTTCTTGTTCTCTTCATCCTAATAAAGAATGCTTTGTGTAAGGAATATCCATTATCTATCGCTTCTCGAGGTGTTCGTACTGTCCTGAAAAAGTTACAGCAGCAGGATGCTACGTTAACCTTATTTCGTAACTTATGAACTTAGTGTTTTCCATTTCGTTAATCTGTTGTGCTTGTTAGGATAATCATTTTAGGTAGATACAAGTAAAAAGCACATTGTGGTGTGCTTTTCCCCGATATATCTATGTCAGCAATGTTTTACTTGAGCATAAGGTCGGGAGTGCTCAACTCTGCCAAGTGGCTGACAGATTTTGTCCGTCCGCTTTCTCTTTCAAAGAGTTAACTGATACTAAACAATGCGAATTGCACGGCTAGCATGTTAAGATAGTATTTGAGCGCCTACAGTCGGTTGTAATGGTGATTATCCTCATATTCACTTAATTGAATTTTTCTCACACAAGGCCTAAATTGACATATGAATGTTAGTTTAATGAGTATGTGTCACAACTTCAGCAGCTTAATTCAAGTTGTGCATATCCTTTGCACCATTCCCTTTGGAGATGACCACAAATATCCTTCCGATTTATTTCTATGAGCATCATAAATTTTTTATCTGATTCTGTTAATAAACTGCTTGTCCCGAAGAAATTAACATAAACCTTATGGCTACTAGTCTGTTATTGAAGCCTCTGTGCTGTGCACCTAGTGAATTCTTACAAAAACTGATTGTATGTCATTGTAGCCAAGACTGTACCATTTGACTTGATTGTTTGAGATACTTCGTTTCTTATTAAGATCTCGGGACAACTACATCATATATCTGATTTTAAGCGTTTCGACGGCTTTTCGTTAAGTCTAGATTGGTTGCAGATTCTGTAACTCGTATAGAAAACCAAGTGAAGAAAGTGGTCATATAATAGCATCAGAATAATTTACTTGATGTGATCATGATAAATCTTAGTAATGTTAATATTCATTGGCTTGAAGCTATATTCTTAGTCCAAAATGCTTACTAAGAGCCATTCACTGTATTTATATAAGCCATCGGGAGTGATCAAATGATAACGCAACATATGATGATTGAAAGATAGTGTATTTATGAGAATTATACGGCATTCAGACAAGACTCCTGTAATTTAGAGACATTTATTTCGCCCAAGTACGCCAAAGTTAAAGAACTTCAAAATTAGGAGTGATTTTAGTTTTGGTTAAAAGTCTACTAATGGTTTAAGGTCAAATACCATACGGTTATTGCTAATAGCTTCAATAATACCTTTCTAAAGTAGATACTATTCTCATAAAGTGTACTAATTCAGGTTTTCGCGTCTTTTTCTAGGGTCCTGGTGTTTCTTCTTCTCGTGTCCTTTCCAACTTACCAGATAGCCGGCAGATCCCCTCAAACTCTGAGATTTGTTCATCCTTCTTCTCTAATCGATTTGGCGGCACAGCCAGCGACAGTCTTACAACGGATAGAATAAATCATCCAACCGTCACTCACTCTAACTCACCTACATCTGCATTTGACAATATGTTGACCTCTCCACATTCGTTTGAAAATTTTCTACCACCGAATTTAAGACAGCTAACACAGCCTGGACAATCTCATATACAAAATTCATCAGGTTCCTCACTAAACTCCTGTCAATCTGACACTCCATTGCCTCCCGAAATGCGACCTGACACTCACCTCACCCCTTTCAGTGACTCCCAGTGTGTTCTTCCCATTACTGCCTCTCAATTCTATTCCAGTCATCATTTTGAAAATACTAAAAAACTCCAGGCCTCTGGTAGCCTTAAAGTCGCTCCTTGGATTCTTGTCCCACCAGTTCCTGAGGGCACTGCAGCTCATATGAGAACAGGAAGAGTTCATGAAGCTAAGCCAAACTTGTTCAACAACCCTGCATTTGGTCCCATCATAATTGATGATGACTTCAAGCACGTAAGTTACTACTACATTTCTTCAATCCATTTCTTTTCTGGGACCTTTCAATATCAAACTCACAAGTTTTATTCTTTATTTCAGGCACTGCACAGTAAACTTCAAGCTTGCTTGTTCATGGCTGATGAGTCCATAAAGGAAAGTAAGTGATGTCGATTGGTAATAAAGTTTTGTAGAAATGGATGAATTATAATAGTTTAGTGAAATAAGATTGCACAAGATTTTTCAAAATATAAGATTGCGTCAGTACTGCCATTTGTTAGAGGTTTGCTAATCAAGAGCAAAAACCAGAATCCTTTTGTTTATTCACAGAAGTAGGTTGCATATTTACATTCTTCATACTCATGCTAATCACGTCAGTGCTCCAGTGTACCGTTAGCCATCTAGAACAGTACTTTGCTCAAGCCTGTTGTCCCTTTTTAGGGCATAGACAACCAACCAGGCTTCTCTAGTCAACTTTGTCCTGGGTCCTCCTCCACAGTTGTTGTCAGGTGCTATTTATGATCCTGGTTTCTCCTTCCGATTTCATGCACTGTGTTCTCCTATCTGTCTCTTTTCCTTTTGCAGTAAGGATTCCCAGTTAGGGCTTGCCTTACAATACGATTCAATGATTTCCGTAAAATGTATCCTGTCCACCTCCAACATCTTTTCTTAATTCTCTCCTCAACTGGAAAATGGTCTGTTTTCTACCAGAGTATGTTATTGCTAGTGGTCTCTGGACAGTGAGCTTGGAGTATCTTGCGTAGATACCTGTTCATAAATACTCTCATTCTTTCGATGGCTGTTGTAGTAGTTTTCCAAGTTTCAGCTTCGTGCAAGAAAACTGCTCTAATGTTAGTGGTGAAGATTTCTACTTTAGTTTTGGTTGGTGGATCTTTGAGTTCCAAATAAATGTAACTAGGGGATTTAAACTTTACTCTTGAATAATAAAGTATTTACGGACAACTACGGTTTTTGATTACGTAAACTAAAATCCTACAGAGGCTTGGCCTTCTGGTGACTGATATCCTTGTCCATTGAGATACGATTGTGTTTAGACGAGTATTTGGTAAAGATCTTGATGCATGCACTGGTCTGGCGATGTTAGAAACTCGTATTTCATAACCATTCCTAGCGATCCCATTACTAGAAATATGTTACCGTAGCCTAGGTACTAACCACTTTTAACTTTAGTTCATTTTAAGTTCTTGTGTGTTATCATACATCAAAAGTTTGCTTCTGGAGACAGTACAGAGTTTAACATACCTTAAATTTGGTCCGTAAACTAATATTATCTTATTAGTTGTGATATTGTGAATCTCACCCCACTTCTCGCCCATGATCTTAAAGTCCATCTGTTATTTTACCTGAAATATTCCCAATCAGAGTGAAATACATTTTCGATCCTCATCATTTTCGCTTCATATGAAACTATCGTCAGTGCAGTTGTCAATATTTTATAACTCAACAGCTAGTTACTACTTTGTTATCTCTTTTTCGACCTTTCATGTAAAAACCAGCGATTGACCCAATAACTATTGCGTGTAAATAATGTCTAATGCATTAACTAGGTTTATTTATTCAAGAACCTGGCTTGTTGTTTGTTTAATGTACCCTTACATATTCTTCGAAACCACTGGTAAGCAAAAGCTGAAATCTCATGAGTTACAAAGGAAAAATGAAAGGAAAGTTTTGTATAAAGAAAAAACAAATTAAAGACAATTGGAATTTTCTCGTTATTTTCAACTTAATTTATCTTATGAATATCAAAATATAAATCTAATACGTAGTGATGGGTAATTTAGCAGAGGGTGTTTACTACCACTGTACATAATTCAGCCGTAATGGAGTAGACCACGTAATATTCAGCAATATTATCTCATCTAATTTTTGTACGAAAAGAGAGCTATTTTTTCTCAGTTAACTTTTACTGCATATGGTAATTCACTTTTGTCCTAACTTTCTATCCCCACAGAATTACCTCGCAACCTAGGAGCTTACACTGACCTCGTTCCTCTAGAAATTTTAGATCAACCAAGAGTATCAGTTACATTTGGCCTTCCTGGAGTCTGTTTTAAAGCTTGGTCTCCTCGATTTAGTCGATATATGCTTCTTCGACGCATAATTTTACCACCTGATCATGAAGCAGCTCTATCATCTGATGCTTTTTATTTAGCTAAACAACTATCTGATTTAAATCATTCTGCTATTGTTGGATTTCGGGATGTATTTTTCACTGATGCATTTGCTGATAACTGTAAGTTTACTTCAAACAACTACATATTACTATAATAATATTTATGTACATTGTATGCTAAAACTAATGAATAAATAATTCCCAATACAAAACTCTGAGGTTTGTATTTAAGAGATTTTTGAGGAGAGATAAATGGTGGCTGTCAGTAGAATCCAGGACGCATGTTTTGCCCTATCCGGGACTTAGCTGCATGTACCTGCATCCCGGAATTGATGCTCACTCCAGGACTCCGGGATGCAGGTACATGTAGCCAGCGAGTTCCAGATAGGATGAAACACGGGTCTTGAATTCCACTAATAGTCCCCATTCGTTTCTGCTTAGAAATGCTTATGACTTAGTGGCAATATCGAGGCATCTACACAGAATGCACATATGCCAAAAAAAACTGATCAGTTTCAGTCTTAAGCATCGATGGAGAGAATAAAAAGCCCAAGACATAAATTAACAAGACTGCTTAGATAAGTGATCATATAATTTGTGACTTAAAATATTCTCTTAAAGAATACGAATATTGGAGGACCAATAATATATTCTATGAAATGTGAAAGCTGTGGAGCAGTTTCTCAACGGTTCAACACCTAAATTTCATTGAAATCATGAACCGATCTAAGTTAGACCATCATTGAAAACCTGGAAAAACTGGGTCCTCAAATGCCCTGGTACGGCCGAGGGTAGGGAGAGTTAGCTCTCCCTCTCGAAATGCTCTCACATGGCCACATGTATACAGCCACTGCCAGGCAAGTCCTATTCACTGCCTTCTCGTGGCGGAGGCACTGTTTACGAAATTGGGAGGATCAAAAGCGAATGTCCGAAGCTTTAACCGGGTCGGTGGATATAGAGGATCCACCTACGGGAGTTAGAAAACCCTAATTCCAATTCAATGGTGTACATGGGCTCCAAGATCCTGAGGGAACAAATGGCGTATGAACCAATTATTGGTCACCGGCTACCATGGGACTGCACCTTGTGATGTTGCTCCACTACCTTGTGGACCAGACCTTTAGGTCGAAGGCTGCGGGCATGGCCTCCTAAGGAAACCACCTCCTTTGGTTTGGGCACCCGGGCAGTATCTCAGCCCTCACATAAATCGAATGATTTGTGTGGCGCATATCTGTTTGGTGCCCCTTTGTACCAATATTTATGTGTTCAAGTAAATAAATATATAAATAAATGGAAGAACTGGACGACCATTTCTTTGTAGTATGAGTCTTAATTTTCAAATAACAGATTACAGATTTCTGTTTGTGAGCAGTTGATAATATTTCTGATCCCCACATAAGAAACGTAATTCACAGCCTAGTACACAGACACGGGTCCACTTATATATTTGCTAGTTTATACTAACGTTCTATTAACTATAAAGAGGTGTTTCATCACATTGTCACAGTTGTAACCTAGAGGACATGGAGCATCTATCTTTTCTCGTGTTAACGTCAGACGAATTAGGAATATGATTTCAAAAATTACTTCTCAATTTATAATGTGTATTAGAAAACAGTAATCTAAATTTTAGTAGAATGCCTGAAATTCATGACAGAAGGATGAGTCAACTTCGTATTTAATATTTTTATTGTCTTCCTAGATCCGAATCTGTTCCAGTAAGCTAACTAATAGGTTTTATTACATTTCAGTTGCATTATGGTGATTTACTTTTATTATCATGACAGCTCTCTGGCAGTATTACTTGCTCCTCACTGGCTCTTTATGAAACATTTCTGTATTATTAAATATCCTTATAAATAGTGCACACATTAACATAATATTCCTTCAAGTAAATCTACTTGTGCTTTGTAGCGGTTATCCTGGTTTATGAATACATACCTTGTTCATCAACTCTACAACAAATTCATATGAGTGATCCATTGAAATTAACTAGTTTTACTTCGCCTTTCAGTATTGGTCGTACAGTGTTACCTCATAGTGCCATAAAAAGTAAGTTTATTAATATCAACAATATAATGAAATGAAACGTAGAAACTATTCATATTTCAATGTACTCGACTGTATGGTTACATAAGCTGTATTAAGTAGATATAGAGATTGAAAGGTTTTTTTTACTGTAGAACAGTTTGTTTATTCGATATTCAGTACAGACACTTATATAGGATAAAATAAATCCAAAAAAGAAAAATATCATATAAAAATTCATCCCTGAAAGTTATCGCGTCCCGCAAAAGTGAGACAAATACGGATGAATTCGCTCTTCACATTCTTTCGAATTTCAAACATTGTATTGTCAGCTGTTATGATTTCTCTTATTATAACCTAGTTACTCTTAGTGCTTAGTATTCTTGAACAATACTTCACTCGACAAGTCCCCATATCAGAACACGGTTGAACAGAAACGTAATTATGTTCCAAATAACAAGGTTGGATGGAATTAGGAATCGCAGTAAGAAAAACGTCAGTATATTTGTGGTTGCACTATATACTTTGAAAAGCCTTTAGTCAAGTAGTTATTAAATTACATGCATTGATATTGTTCTGTTTATTTATTTATTTTTTGGTTGTAGGTGCTCCATCTGATCTCGGAATGCCTCATGAGTCTGTTATGTGGTCATATTTAATTCAATTAACCAGTGGTTTGCGTTTTATTCACCAAACATTTCACCGATCATGTGGTATACTGGATCCTACTAAAGTGTTATTACAAGATGGACCGCGGTAGAATTCTGTTTTTTAGCACTAAAATTTTATAATTTTATCTTTACATTTTTTAAAATTTATATCCAAATGTCATATGTTATGTGTGTACTGCAAACTTATGATGAATATGATATCATACATTGTTTACTTCGAGTAAATGGCAATCACACTAGAAAATTATTTAATTTTGGAGGGGTTACAACATAAAAAAATATGTAGGCTTCTGTGTTGAATTTTAAAAGAAATGTGTCTGACATTCTAGTCTTTGTTTAATTTCTTTGGCCGGTCGAATTCCTAACATCGCGCTTCATATTCATCTGACGTCAAACCTGAATGTTTCTGCTTGTCACTCAAACAAACACAAACACTATTGGTACTATTTGTTGATAATTTTCGTACTTCTGATTAAAACTATCTTTAAAGGTATGTGAAGTTGTTATTCGTTTCATTGCAGGTAACTGTGTATATTAAAGCAAATGTTGTTGAGCAAAACTGCTTTCTCAGGTTTTTTAGACCATTTAATTATATGAAATCATTCCAATAGATGAATATTTATTTTTAGAAGGGACTATTTTATAACACCAGCTTATTTCTACTAAATACAAACTTTCTGTGCAATTACTTAAGTACTAAATCTCCAGACATTTTTGTGTGTCTGCTTTTAACAAGAAGTTCAATCAGTCAGTCATACGCAATGTAGAACTTGGCACATTTGTACATCCTTTCGAGTTGCGACACCCCTTTCTAACAAAACGTTCACTTGTTATTGTAATCAGACTACCTCGACTCGCTTTCGAATTATGTTTTGCTCAAGTGTTAAATCTACTACCTATACAAATTTATAAACTGCTAGTTATTTTCCTTCTAATAGTTTATTCTACAAAGAATACTGAACAAGAATATTCTCTTTTCTACACTAACCTAAAAGTAAAATTTTACCTTATTGTCTTGTTACTTCATCATCGTGCTTTTTTAACACATCAAAGTGACATATATTTAATTATTTACTGACTTGTTAGACTCAACGAAAGATTCTAAGCCAAACAGTCGAAACGACTCTCAACAATGAATCAACGCGTCTTTCAGTTCTAAGCAATATGAAAGGCTTGCGTTTTGTTTGGAACTATCTAGTATTGAATAAATTATATCGAATCAAATTTGTTCGTTGAAAATAACCGGTCTCAAGTATTTTAAGCTGTGATGGATGGTGGTTAGCAGTGGAATCCAGGACGTGCGTTTCGTCTTATTTTTGACTCATCACGTGGATGTATCTACATCCCAGAGTTAGTGTTCACTCTTTGACTGGAACCCAGTACCTTTCTCTTAAAACGTCATCGCGTTGTTTGCTTAGCTCCTGAGTCCAGATAGCCACTGACTTGTGTAATGCGGTGAATTTTAAATTCTAATTCATACACGTTGGTTGTGCCTTATGCTTGTGACTTACTGGCAGTATCGAGACAGTTAACATAGGGTGCACGTATGCCAAGAAGAGTCTGATCGATTGCAGTCCTAGACATCAATGAGAAGATTTAAACAACCTATATCTAATAGTTTCATAAACAACGCTTTACTAATAGGTCTAGTCTTATGTTTATTAGTTCATATGTTTAAAATGATATGGGTCTTAATGTAAATTAATGTGAATTAAGTGGAATTAGTATAAATCTAGTTTGACAGTCATTTGTTTTCATAATTTCATCCTGTTTTTCTAAATAAACTATCTAGTATTTCATCTCTTGCTTCATTAACTAAGTCCTATATAACTGTCTATAGTTTGACCGGAAGAAAATGACTGATGGTTGTTACTAGTGTAGTAAATATCTATTTAAAACTGAAATGATACAATTAGGATCTATTTATTCTGTTTGCTTCAATAAGCATCTGTTTATGGTATGATAACACATATTAGAGTTGTAATGCCTGTAGACAAACCATTGATGCTCTGTCATTGAGTAATACACTCACTTTTCTCTACATAAAATTATGTAGCTTGTTATTCTTTTTCCATCAATTTCTTTCTATATCTTTCCATAGTTTGCGAATCAATTGTTTTGGTTTAAAGGATATTCTGTTCTATTCTGCACAAGATACCAATTTAGTAGAAAGTCAGGTATGTTAGCAATTTTAATATTATACATATGTATAATATCTATTAGAGTAAAATTATGGAACACTTGTCAGACAAGTTCTGTAACATAATTGATTGTAGTGATAACTCGAAATTCGTTTGTCTGAACCAGCCCACTGTCAAAGTTCTGTTTCAATTTCTATCATCATTCAGTTTTTACCGTTTTTTATTAGAAAAGGTTCGTCTTTTCGCCACCCAGTCACAATGGTTGGTTACCTTAGGTATCATTGCTTAATGTCAGTTACAATAACGTATATGCATTCATCCTTAAGATTCCCCTAGATCTTGAGTTTCATAGGTATCTGATATTTTTGACCCGTTCTTCTTTTTGATCCAAATTCTATATGTTTGTTCATTCATATTCTCATTGTTACTACTATTATTCCGACTTATTTACTATCTGTCTCATTACTGTTGTCTCACTGTGTTCATATGATGTAGCAGCTTGACTCAATCCAAACTTATGCTTAGTATTACGTTGGTTATGTATTAAACGGCATTTTTCCTTATTAGTATTTGCCTATTGAGACCAATGTTATATTATATGCAAGACATATCGGTTTGGTATTGTTAAATAATCTCGAAAAATTCTAATAAAATGGTTGTTCATGAAATCGTCAGATATTTCTTCACCATAGAAAATTATTATCATTATTATTATGCACAAATATAAAAAAGGTAAGGTTTTTTAAACTGTGAAACCACTAATATTAGTGTTCAAACATTCAACCTAATGACTGATTCATGATATCTAATGCTGAATTTTATTAAATTCTATATACATATGTGTTTTAATTTAATTGACGATAAGTATTTCTGTAGGGTCTTTATTACTGATAACTCGTCGTTTTACTTTATAGGCAGCTGACTTTATACAACTTGGCAAATTAATGATAGGAGTTGCTTGTGGTACAGTTGCAGCTGTACAGGTTAGTGAATATTCTTTTCCTCAAACAAATTCATTTAGTGTACAATTTTTTGTTATCTAGAATGTCGTTCTTGACATTTTTAAAAACCTAAGTTGTATCGCCTCCAAATCTGTCTAACTCAATAACTACTTGATATGATCAGCTAATTCCTGGAAGTTATCAACCCTGATACCTTTCATAGCTCATCAAAGATGCTAATTTGCTTTTGATGTTACTAACTAATCCTGTTAGGTTAGACGGAAGTCTTGAAGCCTTGTTTTTTCTTTCATGACTCACAATAATTTCAATATATCTAGGTGAAAGGGTTTTCATTAAGTTACAACTAATATATTTAATTATCAAGACAATTAAAAGCCTTTATTAAATTGTGCCTGTGGTTGAGGTATAAAAGATTCTGAATCCAATTTTTAAACTATTTCCTAGAGTAACTTTTAATTAACTTCTCATGTGTTATCCACTCAACGTAACGCTTTGTTCTATCACTTTCTATGAAATCATAATTACCGTTGGATTTTTTCACCATTTTAATTTATTTATTTATAAAGGCTAGTCAACGGGCTTCTTCATTCAACCTACTTCAGCGTGCATATCGACCAGAATTAGTCACTCTTATTCGAAGTTTAGTATCAGGACAGATATCAGGAGCAGATCAACTAATGCGGGCTACTGCACCATTTGCATTCGATCACTTAACAAGGTTATATGATCATTCAGATCTCTTGGAAAGTCAATTATTATTGGTGAGTACGTTATGTAAATGTTTAATAAGGCGGCCTGCTTGAGCATCTGGGCTACCTGTTGCTGCCATCTAGATATTTCAACAAGTTATCTATTTTTGTTTGTTTTAATATATCATTATGTCTATTAATCGCATAACCTATTCTGCTGCGTTTCTGAAAAGTGTACAACCTTTCGTTGTCAAAGTTACACAAAGAGAGAATGTGGTTGCTGGCAATATACAACGAAAAACATGTACATTATTCAGATGTTCATTTACTGGACTGCTAACATCTAACTGGCGATCACTCAATATTTATTGCGAGGACCGACCAAGAAGAAAGAAACGGAAACTTGTTGAAATACTTTGTGCTGAGAATTCTATATTGTACCAATAATATAATATTGAATAAAGCTAATAATAATAATAATAATAATAATAATAATAATAATAATAATAATAATAATAATAATAATAATAATAATAGTTTCTTCATTACTGTAATTTGTATCTGTTACAGTTCAAACAGTCTATTCACATACTATAGATATTATAAACTCATTATATTCGTTTTTTTCACAATTCTATGACTGCTAGGAATGAAAAACGATGCAATAAAAGGAATAAATCCAGATAGAACTCGTTTGTTTTGATATCTATTATATTACAACTCAATGGTTTATTGTTATACATAGACACTGTGTGATTGATGATAACTCGTTTTGATCCATAAGCTCACATATACAAGATTTTGTATAGTCTAATATGTCTATGTTTCATATATAATTTTTCCCGTATGTCATCACACTACGGATCTGTCTTGTTTCGTGCTTCAAATATTGAATTCATCAATGATTATAACACATGAACTCATTTTCTTATGATACAATATTACAGTATTTTTACTGCTTACCTGTAGTCTCTTTAAGTTTAAAGGTTTTTCAATTTTATGTTTTTATTGTTAGTATTGTTTTTTTATTTCATAAACTTCATTTCATTTGTAATCGTGCAATTTGTTTTGTTAATATATACTAACTACTACTTCCATCTAGATATTAGTTAACGATGTCACTCAACTTATTGATTTTTGTGCTAAAATAATATTTGTATACTTTTTTAGTTTCTATAATCTACTCTACTCACCTTTTATGGCTTAATACTATTATGCAATAAGTCATATCCTGTATGCCAAAGTGTTCTGTGCCTTTCTACAAAATTATAGTAAATAGTTTTGTGTATCATACAATTTCAAAATAAGTGGAATATCCAGGTATATATTCTCTTAATGATAGGCTTTCAGATTATTGCTATTCAAATATAATATTTGATGTGTTTACACGTTTATGCATATTGTAATATATGCCCCGACTCTCAGTTTATTCATAAACGATGTAAATCAATAAATATAACAAGGAAATGTAAAACAGAATGCCGTGAATCTTGATTCTCTGTTTTGACACTTTATTGAGAATCAGTTATGATTAAAAGCTTGAACAAATTGTCTTGTTTACCTAGTTCGTTGTATTTAGACTTGATATACATTACCTACCTTTGATTTATTGAATAACGATGATTAATTGGGTTTGAAAACTTAATTGTTCTTATATTTTGTAGTTCTAGGCTCAATAGGTGTATAGATATTATGATTGTTGTTTAATTTATGAACCACAGTAAAAAGTTTACTTCATAAAATCTAAGAAGATAAAAAATTCAGACATTTAGAATACTCGAAGATTTGATTTGATTTGTTAGTTTTGAATTGAACAAATAACAAGCAGTAATTCGAGAATATTCTCTAAATTTTTACAACCTAAATTAGTTACGATGAATGATTTTAAGAAAGTTGGTAGAAAAGTAATAATTTCATAAATAATCACCTTTGCAAATAAACCTTACAATAAATCATATGAAAATCAACTGCTTGTGATCAACTTCCGTTTATATTATTTAAACCATTGTTTTCTTAACCATAAGTTGCTTATCTGTATACGTAATTTTTTTTTAGCTTGCTAACCGCTAAATATTTTGAAAATTAATCCACTTGATATTATTCAACTACATATGTTATCTTCAGTATATTCGACATTCACATATTATTACTCAATGTGTCAGGACTTTTCATACACGAAGCAGCGATATAATTAGTTAGTTCACTTGGCTTTTGAATGTTAAGTCAGAAGATAAACTCTGCTCCATCAACTTCTGTTGAAGTAACCCTAACACTTACAGTGTGTGAACCCTTGTGAATAGGACCTGACTTCTAAATAAGTTTATCAGCTTTGATAAGTTATTTAACTGTTTTTCGTAAGGACAAATAACACTGTAATGTATGGCTACATTGTATCGTCTTTTACTATTCACTTTAATGTCGATATATATTTTAAATATTTACAAAATTCACTCATAAACCATTCGATATATCATTTTACTGTTTAGGAACTGGAATGTGACAGACTTTTCCGACTCATCTGTAAACTTCAATCTATTGTGGAGCGTTGCGAGTGAGTGTGTTTTTTTAGCAGGTATTTCGTTCATTTTCTTTGGGTTGAAATTATTTCAACCGCTTTTATATTTTAAGTAATTTTTACAGACACTTCTTTAAAAACATTCTAAGATCACCTTATTTTAATCCTACTTTATGGTATAGATTAGTCGATTGTGTTTAGGATTTTGTTTGTATCTTACGCTTATTCTTTATAACTGTAATAATTTATCATTAAATCGCGAATTATTTTCTCACAATTCTTCTTTTCATATATTGGTAAATTATAATTTGCATTGGTTTTTCATCACTTGTTCTGCTTAATAAATGCTGTTTTTTAGACGTATTTTACAACGAACATTAATGTGTCTATTCAGACAAAAAGTCTATTAAATACTGTTTGTCAGTCAGTCAGCTACAACGTAGGACCAGGCACATATGTGCATCGGTCCAGGTTGCCATACCGCAAAATACTGTTTGTTATCCTACCTACCACAATTGATAACAATTTCAGTATTATTTTAAGAAATTTTCAAAATGATCCTAAGCAGTTTTATTATTCTATAGTAATTTGCCTAGTTGTGTTTACCTCGGATCAATCGGTAATGCTACTCATATATTTGTTAAGATTCACAAGAATATATGCTACATAACATTATGTAGATTTTACCGCATTAATCATTGTTTAATTATTGTTTTACAATTTATAAATATTTCATGTAATAATCCACCATAGTTATTGTTTTGTAATAAAAAAAATACAGTAGGTATTATTTACTTGCAGATTAATTTTGTTTTAATATATCGTTCTACTTACATTCTATGTGTAAGTAAATATGTGAATGTGTATGTCATGTGACAGTTTTGTCTGTCAGTACATGTGTTGTACAAAAAAGTTTTGCGAAAGTTATTAATTATGCTCTTTTATTGAGGAATATCGAGTTATCCATTGTCTTGAAAAAGTCGATATTAGCCGTTGTTAAATATTATAATATGCTCTTATGTCAAACTGGTCAATTTTTTGTCGAGTTATTAGTTAATTGTTTATTTTCCCTTCATTTTTTCTGTATTCTTCTGTGTTATTGCTATTCATATAAAATGGTTTAGTTATCTGTTAGGGACGAAATCCATTTATTTATAAGCTTTCATTTCATATTTTCAACAAATAAGTTGTTTTCACCAGGCCAGAAGATAATTTTTTTGCAAAGGACGAAGAGATTTAATGCTACCCAATTACCAAGTTCTGGGTCCGTGTAAGCGGTTACCAACCACATTTTGATATGTAAACAAATGATACCACTATAGGCTGACCAAAAATGGTAAATGGAACTAAATTCGAACTTGTGACAATGGTTGGAAGTTAATTGCTTTCACTACTACTAAGCTGTCTCTCCATTGAAATAATCCCCTACTGTGCAAGCAACTAATATTTCCTTTAAACTGAAAGATAATTAATGTTATTTTTATTAAAATAGTTTTGAACCTTTAATCTGTTTTGCATTGGATCGTAGGTTTATCTACAATACACGCCTATTTCAAGTGTGAGTATTCATATAATATCAACAAATGTCGAACAAAGTGACTTATGGATTTGGACTTGATCGACAACCTGTAGTACATGAATATTTAAATCGACTTTTATTGACCGTGTATCCTTCATTTGATGAATATTCTGGATATTTAGTACCAAATATAGTCATTTTGAAATAGAATTTTACAATAAACTCGTAATATCGACTGATCATTATCCAACTTTCAGTGTTTTTGTGGATAAACATTATCTAGTTTTTAGTACGAATCATCCTAGAAATATCACTGCAACTTAAGCAGGTATAGATTTTTTGAATAAGTTTCCAGATGATGTGAAAACATTTTCTAAATGAAATCAATACAAGTTATTTCGGGACCTGCAATCTTGTTTTAAAGTTGATGGTTCAATCCAACTCTGCAAACATTAGGAATACTCTTTAAACTGATCAAGTACCTTTTTTCCCACAAAGTATACAATGTTAAATTAATATGTTCTTTCTCATAATTCCTATTTTTTGAGATGCCAGAAAATACGATAGTCAGATTCAGTTGAATACATGTACTCAGAACCAACGTTAATTTTTATACCAATTTTTCAGGATTGTTGCAAGATACCATAAGTAAATAATATTTCATTTCCTAACTGTCTTATAGTCAGGGTACTTCCCCAGAATGGTCTGAAACAGGTGATCGTTATATGTTGAAATTATTTCGAGATTTCGTATTTCACCAATCTGATCCTCTTGGTGCTCCATACTTAGATCTTGCACATATTATTACTACATTGAACAAGGTACGTTATTTTTCATCTGTTCAGTAGAATTATAGATGAAACTACATTTTTAGTCAGTAAATGTATGCTCTGCAAATAAATAAATATTATTGATAAATATTTTCATTAAAATTATTGGGTTCATTTTAGTGTATCTGATTCTTAATCCAGTATATATTTTAATCTTCACATTCAATTATAATTCAATTACGTAGATGGTAATTCAAACATTTTATTCTAATTAACCAAAGGTTTGTGAATTGAAGATGTCTATTTTTTTCCAAAAAAGAGTGTACTTTGTTCACATTATAATGATATAAACATTTTCTTCTTCTCTCTCCCTCCCTCCCTCTCTCTCCGTGACTCAAATTTGTCAGTGTTTACATGTGTTGAGTTAAAGTAGTTTTATTTTTATGTCACTTTGATGACATGCTAAACAAAAGCATTTAGTTGGTATACTGATTTCTGTTTGATGCTTTATTTTATTCAGTTGTATATCTCATTTATCGTTCACTCGATTACTTTATGAAGTTAATCAACAAGCAATAGCCAATGGATAAATTAAAATTCTTTATAGATTATTAGATGACATTCTTTTGAGTGATGTTAACCAATAATTTGTGTAATACTCCTAAATCATGGTTTTAGTTGCCAGAAGTCTAGTTCTCGTTGTGCATCATCGTCGTTCACCTGTTATTTGATAATTTACGCCAACTCAATTGATGGTTGTTAATAATATTACATATTTTAATTTCCCTGTTATTCAGTGTATGTTCACCTTATGAAGTCTTTTTACTTTTTTTTAAATATGTTTGACATTTGATTGTTTTTTTTTCTAAATTATACTATTTTAATTCAGTGAATAAACCACATTATTTTCGGGTTAAATTTTCATATAAGTTTTACCTCAAATATTAAGTGAGAAATATTAATATACTGTATTGAAAATAGAATGGATTAGTAAACTTGACCCAATACCACTTGCATCTTTATTCGACTTGGATTTTTTTTCATTGTAATCACTGGATAATAACTTTTGTTGATTTATTTGTTCCATTGCCCAATCTATTTTCCATTAATTTATTAAATGTATTCTTTATTTTCCATTCATTATTCATGTAAAGTTAATCAATTTCTATTTCAGGTTGAAGCTGCTTCACCCGAACGTCTTTGTCTAGTCAGCCGTGATAGTCAAAATGTGATTATTGTCACCTATGCAGATATTAAACAATGGTTAGATACAAGCTTTTCTTATCTAGTGGACAAACACCGTCAGAGTCAGTGTGAACTACAATTGACACGTCAACGAAATGCTCGCCAACAACAACAGGAGATCTCCAATCCTGGAAGTCAACAATGACTGGAATAACCATAATTATGGTAATAGAAAAATGCTATTATGAGAGTGCTAAATTATTTTGTATTATATTTGCATATATTTTTCTTCTTTTTTCTAAAAGTATAAATCTTGTTTAGTTGACTCAATCCTTGAATATTTTTCAAATGCAATGTTGTTCATTAAATGAAACATATCTGTGAAAGTTCAACATATCGATTGAAATATTCCTTCTTGATTAATGAAGGCTTATTCGTGTACACTTGACCTCTCATGTTGTTTTTATGTGAATAAAAATTAAGATTTCTACGATAAATTCCACTATATAACTCAACAGATTGTATAAATAACCATATATATATATATATACTTTATTGAATGACCAATATACCAAGTACAGATTTGTATACTTATGCTTTATACGTTACTAGCATTCTCACAGTATCTCAGAGCTTTTAAATCAATACGATTTATCTCAGATAATCTTGTTGTGTATATAGAAGTTGATAAAGAGTTTTTATATGAATTATTGACTCGACATTTTTTTATCAGTCACTAAATTTTAACCAATCTATGCGTAGTTACGCAATTGACAATGAATTCTGTTCTGATCTACTATCGAATTGTTGATTTTCCACTAGTTCATTTAGATGAAAATTTCATGGATTATGTTTGGGTTATACGAATAATCAAACTGAAAACGAAAATGCAGTTGTTCCTCTCTATCATTAATTAAAATCAGTTCTCTAACTGAGGTTATTTCTTGGCGTAAAACTTCGTTTAAATCCCTTCTTCAGTATTGTTATTTGAGTAAAAAAAAATGTTCATCTGGATTACTTAATTGCTTTTTCGTCTTTATACTTTGACTCTTTATAGATTTCGTAATTTTGGGCCATACAATCATGCTCGGGGGCGATGCATATGGCATTACGTTCGATATATAATATCACTTATATGTCCGTCTTCCGTTCTTTACACTTGTGAAGCCTTGTGTCTAACATTTTTCTCTATTCTTCTATCTATCCATTTACATGTGTGGTATCATTTCTGCAGTAAATTAAAATGATATATTTCTTTATTCTGTCGAAACTCCAGAGTGCTATTTTTTGTTTCCCAAGAAAAACTTCCTTCTCTACATCATCGGTTATTAGCCCCTGCTCTCTTCACTCCTATTTCATCTACTGAATTCACCAATGAATATTTGTTTTGCGGCAATGCATGTAGTATTAATTTGTTGAAAGATTGTTCACATCATCATTGCTGTTATTTCAACTGTTATTGTATACTTGTTGTATACTGTTGTTTATCGAGAGTAAATGACCTGTATATTCGTATATTGGTAAGAATGATAAGAGTGGCAATCGCTAAATATCACTCAGACTTTATTGAGTTTTTAATGGAACTGATTTTTTGTTGGTTAGTTGTTGTATTACATTGTTACTTTTCTCTCTCTTTGTACCTTTTCTTTTTTAAAAATTGCTCTGTTTGTAAATGAAATCTTCACTTATCGATCATAAATTATTCTTGTTTCGCATTTCTATTTACTATTATTATTACTTCTGCTACTGTTTTTTTACAGTTCTCTTTAGTGCAAGAGTATTTCTAATATCTTGGACAAAAGCAATTACAAAACAATGATGATGTATGTGTACTTATTGTTTCTATGTATGTATTTTGTCAGTTATTCTCTTATCTTGATATATATATATATATCGATACAATATCAGTCCGTTTCAATTATCTCAGCTATGTTTATTTTTTTCTGCAAATTGAATGTAGAACAGACAAAGAGAGAAAGAGATATACATTCGTTCATTACGATGAAATAGTATTTCTAATAAAAAAAGAAAGAATCATAATTTAAATAGCAGACAAAAGATGAAATGCTTCCACTTCTCTTCACTTTTTTCCCGATTCTTTACTTTTATACTTTTATTTTTCACGAAATCTTTTTTCCAGTCTGTCTTATATTCCTTTCTGTTTCAATTCTTTCCTTCGAAAAAACCTGATTATTTTTGAATTGTCATTACTGTTGTGTAGGTCGGATGATATTTTTGTCTCTTCCTTTTTTTTGTAAAATTGTATTTATCATCAGTAAAATATTTCATCCTTCAATTAAATGTTTATTTAATCATACTGAGTAAATATTTATTCAATAAACCGGATTAAATACCATAAAAGCGTATAGAAACTATGCCACTGTTCTCTCTTCTGTTATCGTGGGCTTGTTAATCGGTTGAAATGATCTTATATTGATTATTCTTCGTATGTCAGGCTTTTATAATAGTTTTGTTGATATTCACAATCAAACATCTCAGAATAATTTCAAATATTTTTTGAAGCTAGTTGCACTCAGCAATAGTACCTAATTTGTAGTTGACAATAATGTCGTATGAGTATAAACAGTAAAACCGAGATAAAAAGAATTACTGCTCACTTTAAAACATCCGGATATTTTGCTGATGTTTAATCAGTTACGGTGAAAACACCAGTTCCCGTTAGTTTCCTAAAATTGTGTACTGATAATGCGTTGCTTAGTAATGATATATTGGAGTACCAATCATTTTTCCATGCATTCGTACTTTTTGTAGTTCTAAAAAGTGCGCACCATAACTGGACTACGTTCACTTATTCTCTTATCGTCTAAATAAATTTGTAATAATTAGTAGACAAAAACTTTCGAAAATTGTTTTAAAAACCAACGAACCTTACGTTTGCGCCATGCGTACAGAATAATCTTTCTCTGTTGTTGTGGTTGCTAGGGTAGTCGCGAAAACTATGTATTTTTACTGGTCTAATGCAAAATGTAAACAAAAATAACGAACAGTCGATTCATTTTTGTATTGGTTTTCTTGAATCTTCCCATTGAAGTTTAGGATTACAAATGATCAAACATTTTGCCATATGTGGATTCTATGCGGATTCAGTAGATATTACCTTAGGTCATAAGCAGATATGAATGGTGACCAACAGTGGGATCCAGGACGTATATTTCCTCCCAGTTTGGGCTCGTCAGCTGGATGTACCTGCATCCTAGATTTGATGTTCACATATGCTAACAGGAGACATCAATGGGAAGATTCAAACAACTCATATAAAAATGAATCATATCTCACCCCATTATACAAGCCAATGACTATCTGAACTCAATAGCTAGGTGAATAACGTGGTGCTGTTTGAAGATACATGTACTGGTTTCGAGTAAGGAGTGAACACCAACTCTGGGGTGTAGTTATAACCAGATGACGAGTCCTAAGTAGGATGAGGCGCGCGTTCCAATGATAGCCTTTGTCTATCTCTGCTTATAAAAAACGATCAACTTTAATTTCATGTTACTTTGACTTGTAGTCACTGATCATGAAAAGACATTTTTAATGTTTTACTAATAATACTTATTCAAGTTCTTTCTGGGTCGATTTTCTGTTAACGTTTTCACTTACGTAGGATATAAATCCCTCAGTCCCCGGTAAAAACAGTCAAGCTTAATTTCTATATCATTTTGCTTATCAGGACTTAATATTTACATCAATCAGTTTATCCAATCACCTATCTTCAGTAGATCTGTGTAATAACTGTTAAAGCACCTTGCAACCAGTCGTTCTCAGATGTTAGCCCCTTTCCTGCTACTACAATCCTAGCGACTGAGTAGTATTTCTAACTAAATATCACAGACATATTAGTCCAATCTCTACCAAATGGATTTAATTGATTATTCCAAACGAATTTGATTTTTAAAAATCAATTAAATTACCTGTTCAACTGAAATTTTTACATATTCAGTAGTGACGATTTTTGATTGAGTTATTCCATTTCAGATTGTTTACGACATGAGTATGTTTTGTTTTCCCAAATCTTTATAGCAAAGGATCTCAAAAACAATTTATTACCCTGTATTATTAACAGGAAATGTATTCAGTATTGTAAAAGTCCTTATTCAATAATCAAGTAAATAAATAATTATTAAAAATTAGTCATTTCTATAAACGGGACTCCCAGTAATTTTATTGATTGATTTTAAGAATAGGGGATTAATTAGTGTTCTTTGAATCACTGCGATACTTGTTAGTTATAATGAATGAAATAAAAAGTCAATCAGCTACAACGCAGGACCGGGTATATGTATGCATCGGTCCAAAATGTCACACCTCATTAGCACATGATGAACAAATTCATGGAAGTAGTTACTTCAATGGTAGTAATATATAAAAGAAAGATTGTGTATAAGGATATGATACAAGAAAGAATTAGTTCGTAGAAAGAAAGATATAAAGCAACCTTAATCTCACAGTTTAAGGGAAAACAAAAAGTATGTAACGACGCCATTGTGAGCCATGTCACTGTCTCCAACCATTGGTTACGATAGTCATGTGGACCCCAACAAAGTAATCTGCATCTGCCATCATGGCTATGACTAGACGTTAGTGGCTTCAAGCATTGATGCCACGTTTTGGTTTGGCCGCCCCTAACTTCCTTCCAACCATCTCCAACACCGGTTAGCATTGCACGTCGTGGTAGCCGGTGTTCAGGCATACGTAATCCGTGGCCCAACCAACTCACTCGAAGTTTCACAACCTCATCAACTGATTTACCATCATTCCCTAATACTATGAGTCTGACCTCAGTATTACTTACCCGGTGATCCCAGTAGATGCGAGCAGCATTTATAAGGCGTTTGTGACCAAATACTAGCAGCTTACGAATGTCTTCCACTCTTAATGGCCACGTTTCTCAGTTGCAAAGTAGAACAGAAGGAACCGCTGCACAGTATACTCATCCCTTAATTGATAGATAGATATCTCGCCTTCGCCATAGGTGACGTAAGTTCACAAAAGCCAAACGAGCTTTTCGAATCCGTGCTGAAATTTCGTCAGACACCAATCCCTTAGGGCTGATCAGACTTCCACTATAAATGAGGTTGTCAACGCGTTCGACTACTTCACTCCCTATCCTTAGTTCAGGTGTTGACGCAGACCAGTCCTGAAGCAAGAACTTGCATTTCGAGGGAGAGAAGCGCATTCCAAACATTCTGGCATTGTTGCTTAGTGCTACCAGAAGACTGCATTTTATCAGCGTCTTCACCAAACAGGACTATGTCATCTGCGTATTCTAAGTCGGTCAGTGGACCTGCCGGAAGTAGATCAATACCTGAGAATTCAGTCGACGAGAATGTTATTTCCATCAGTAGGTCTAGGATGACGTTAAACACAAGTGGAGAAAGTGGACAGTCTTGACGGACACCACTTGAGGTTGCAAAAGCAGATGACAGTTCGCCATAATGTCTCACTCGACTAGCAGTGTTCGAGAAAAGAATTTTCACAAGGTTTATGCACTTCCGAGATACGCCTTTCAATGACAGACACTGCCACAGAATCTCGCGGTCTTCTGAGTCAAATGCTGCTTTTAAGTTAAGAAAGATCACCATTGTCGGACGCCGATAAGTGTCCCTGTGTTCTAGAACCTGACGAATGGTGAATATGTGGTCGATGCAGCCAGCTTGATTCTCTCGTGTTTGCAGTTTTAGCGAAGGAGGCCTGCTGACCGATTTGACATAGGGTGCGTATGTTGAAGGCTCCAATGTGTAGTTTGGAGCGGGATTATTTTAGTAGACCTGGGAGAGTGTTTTGCGCACTAGAATCGTTGGCTATGGTGACGTTTGAGGAGGAAGCCAAAAGAGGAAGTTTAGCGTTGAAAGTCGATGTAGGAGGAATAATACGAATTAAAGTGGGAGGTTGATTATCAATACAGTGGTCTTGGGTGCTGTTAGAGGTATGAGGGCGGTTATCATTTCCCGGTTTCCCACACGGTGGAAGTGTTGTGCTGGAGGTACCTGAGAAGGAAATTGAATTAGAGGTGGTCTTAGTGACCTGAGAGCGTGGCCACGGTGCCTAAGGGACAACTGCTTGAGGTTGGTCACACACGACCTTTTGGTGAGTAATCTTCGTGTTAGTTCTGTACTTGTTGGGACCGTATCGCCGGAGACGGATCTCCGTGGGATAAAGCGAGGTGTGCATTTTTAGGGTCGACCTTTTCTAACCACACTCCTACTTGTGGGAAGGCAACAGCGCTATCATGCTGGTTGTCTGAAGGGAACACCTTACTGCTGTCACACCTCTGTACAGTCAGCAGTACAACTTCGCTCTCGGACCTTGGGTTTACTGCTTTTAGACTTACCGCTCTTCAACCGACCTGTCTGGTGTGGTAGGATCTTGAGAAACGACTGTTTCAACCAGCATAGCTCGATTGGTTCATGGCGATAGGCAAGCCCGACCACCACGTCAAGGTAGCAGCAACAGTCGGGATATAAAGTAAGGCAAATTCTAAAATCTCATAAACATTGCATAACAGTAATCGGTTAATCAGATTTATTTTCTTAAGTGCATTTTGACTACAGATTGACTATATTGATACCTTTAATATCTATTAGTAGATTATCGATAATGACAGAAATGGAGTGAATGTTTTCATAACACGAGACTACTATTTATAGTAATTGATGCCTGAAGTATGCTATTTTTAATATATTCAGTCCAACGGAATAAAGTTCACTCCGCCTGTAGCTCTTATAGGGTTGCTGCCGGTCCCAAGCCCGGGTAAAGGAGGAGGGTTGGGCATGGGGTTAGCGTCCCCATCCCGTAGAAAACTAACTCGCTAAAAAAACGCTTACCAGAAAAAATAATCCAAACCATTTTAACTCTGCCCTGGGAGTTAGAAGGTCTTCATTTAGAAGAATTATGACGCTTCATGGTGAAAGCCGAGTTCCTTCGGAAGCCACGAGGCCGATGCCCCTTCTAACAACCAGAGCAAAAATTTTTATAGGTACATGGAACGTTCGAACAATGTGGGAAACCGGGAAGACCAGTCAAATATCAATGGAAATGAGGAGATACAACTTAGCAGTACTGGGAATCAGCGAAACCCACTGGACCCAAGCTGGACAGAAAAGGCTAGCTACGGGAGAGATGCTGCTATACTCCGGTCACGAAGAGAACAATGCTCCACACACTCAGGGAGTCGCTCTTATGCTGTCCAAAGTAGCACGAAATGCACTTGTAGGATGGGAATCTCACGGATCCAGAATCATCAAAGCATCATTCAAAACAAAGAAGGAGGGGATCTTAATGAATATTATCCAATGTTATGCACCCACCAATGATAGCAACGACGACATTAAAGATCAGTTCTACGAGCGGCT